CCCTTTGTCAACACTCAGACAGATTGACACACCCCAGCTGGGTCACATAACTGGCAGCTGCGCCCTACCCTCAGGTATCTCTCTGGAGGGGCAAGTCTGCCTCCACCTGACCTCCTTTTTTCCTGGCTGTCACCAAAGAGACCATCCTCGGGACCCATGGACCCATAAAATCCATGTTACATGCTATGGAAGCAAGCCACTCCACTTCCTATTGGCACTAAGGCAACCAGCCCAGCTTCTATCTGTCACCTAGAGTCACACAGCCATTCCCTCATCAGTCACACCCATGGAGATAGTGCCTCCTCCTCTAGCTGTAACCATGGATACCACACATTCCCCATCTCACTGTCCTCCACCCCAGAGACCTACAACTCCACTTCTGTTGTCCCCATCCTGACCAACAGCCATGGAAACCAGCCTCCCTCCAACTGTCCAGACAGTGAGCCAACATTCAGTTCTACAGCTCTCACCATGGAAATGGGCTGCCCTTTCCCCAGGCCCACCCCAGCTCCTTGCTGCCGTCCAAGCTCCACAGCTGTTGCCATGGAGACCAAAGTGCAGTCTGAGGTAGCAGAACACCTGTCTCCCTAGGCTTTTCCTTGTCAGCAGGGCCCCACCCATCCTGCTGTCACTATAGAGGGTGTTAATATCATCCCCATGACAACCGACCCCTGACCCCCAGCTCAGGAACTAATCACCATGGCAGGAACTGCACCCCATAGGTCTTAATGGCTGCCCCTTCACCAGGTGGACTCAGCCCCAAGCAGCACCCCCTGATAGGGCTGGACTTCTGGAGCTGCTGGACACCCTCCGTTTGCACGCTACTTATACCCCAGATAGCAGCTGTGCACGCACACCCTTTCGATACCTAGGTGTTTTCATTGCCTCTGTACAGATGAGCAAACTGAGGCACTGGCATGCCTTGGCCCTTTGAGCTGTGCAAGCACTGGGTTTCCCTTTTCTTCTCTGAGACCCCATCCCCATTCTCACCTAGCTCTTCTCTCCTTCCCTACTTACTCCCTCACCCCACTTCCCTCCTTAGAGATCCAGGAGAGATGGAATGTTCCTAAACCTCAAAAGCCACTCTGAGCTCCAGATTTTAAGGGCAGATTCTTGCTAAGAAGTCAGGACCCAGCCAAACTCCCCAGTGTGGAAAGCCACCCATCCTTGGGAAATCCCAGTTCTAAGGTCTTTCCTAGAGTAGCACTTGGTAGTCTCCTGGAGCCCTCTCTACTGTCCCACCCATCTCAAAGAAATCCATCTGTGGGCCGGGAATCAGGTTGGCTTGGTTCTAATCCTGCCCATGACCAAGTGACAGAACCCCTGAGCCTATATCCTCCTCTGTACCAGGGCTGTTTGTTCTGAGGTCCCAGTGAATGCAAAGCATACAGCAGGGGCTCAATAAATTTTTTTTCAATGAATAAGTAAAAGAGGCAGCCAGTGAGTAATTGCTTCAAAATGCATTTTTGTGAACAAAATGTTTCCCAATAGGTGTACTTGGTGATGATTCAGTCAGAAGTCTCCCCTCACTTCTGAAGACCACATTCCACTCACTCTCTTCTTCCCCCAGGCGCCCCCCCCCCCCGCCCACTGTCCTTTGAGCTACCCTCTATGGGTCTGGCTCTTTCAGCTTTGTCCTGATTGGTTCCTCTCAATACCCAGGAACAAAGTGTATGAAACTGGTTGGGGAATTTCTTCTCCAGGAAGGCAGAGAAATTGCAGATTTTCCTGGGGTATAGGAGTGGGGTGGGGAGGGCAGTGTGGACTGATGAGTACTGAAGTTTCTGGGATACAAAGGGAGAAGAGAAAAAAGTGTAAGGGTCTGATTTGGTTGGAGAAATGGGATGGTCAATGTAACTGCTCATCTTTTAATACCAGACTTCATGAAGCTTCCACAAGCAAACTGTTCCTCTGAATTGCAGTGTCCAGCTCCTTGGTTAAATTGCCTTGTACTCCAGCTGAGCCTTAGCTTCCCCTATAGGAAACTGGTGAGGGACATGTTTCCAGAGATGCATGTATGGAATTTCTTTCATCCTGCCTTTTTCCTGCTGGCCTCCTTCATCCCTTCCACTATTCCAGCTCCTTGGTTTCCCCTGAGCATGTAACTTTAACTGCTCTCATTCTATGAGATATGGAAAGGCTGACTCCAGCCCCCTTCCAGCTCTGCCACTGAGTGATGTGGTCCATCTCCCTGGGCAGCCTTGATTGGTCCAAGGATGAACACCCACACAAGTAGACCAATAAGATGCAGTCCCTAGGATTTTGGTGGATGATTGGGCAGAGGGAACCTTCCTTCTGCTGGGATCATTGCACTGTTGGGGTGGATGTCTCCAGGGTCCACCAACAGAGCAGCTAAGGGATGGCAACTACGATAAAACCTTTCCTGAAGCTAGGTATTCAGAAAAACATCTGTCTGTCTGTCTGTCTCTCTCTCCTGTCCTCTACCACCCAGCTTACTTCCCATAGACATATAAAGATTCTTACCTGTTCTTCCAGAGATGTTTTATGTTTGGTCAAGCAAACATGCATATATGTTTCTTTCCCCCACTTTTACACAAAGGATAGTGGGTAACATATACTTGCTTATATTGTAAAATTTATTGACCATAAGCTTTACCATTGTAAATGTTTTAAAGTGTTCCATTCAATGTTATTTAGCACATTTACAACATTGTGCAACCATCTAGTTCCAAGCCATTTTCATCACCCAAACAGAAAACCCCACCCCCATTAAGCAATTGCCCCGCATTCTTTCCTCCCACCACTGGCCTGGAAAATGCTAATCTACTTTCTGCATCTGTGGATTTGCTTATTCTTGATAATTCATATATATTGGAATCATACAATATATATGTCCTTTTGTATCTGGCTTCTTTCTCTCATGTTTTGTTTTGTTTTGCTTTTTAAAGCTTTTATTTATTTTCACCTGGCTGGTATGGCTCAGTGGATTGAGAGCTGGCCTGCAAACCAAAGGTTCGTCAATTTGGTTCCCAGTCAGGGCACCTGCCTGGGTTGCGGGCCAGGTCCCCAGTGGGGGGTGCACAAGAGGCAAACACACATTAACGTTTCTCTACCTCTCTTTCTTCCCCTCTTCACCTCTTTCTAAAAATAAATACATAAAATCTTTTAAAAAGGTTTTATTAATTTTCAGAGAGAAAGAAAGGGAAGGACAAAGAGAGGGAGAGAAACATTGATTGGTTGCTTCTTGCATACTCCCAACTGGGGGCCTGGCTGACCAGGAACTGAACCAGCAACCTTTCAGTTTGCAGGCCAGCATTCAATCCACTGAGCCACACCAGCCAGGGCAGCATCATGGTTCTGAGGTTCGTCCATGTTATAGCATGTGTCGGTGCTTCATTTCATTTTATAGCTGAATAATATTCCATGGCATGTATGTACCACATTTTGTTTATTCACTTATCAGTTGGTGAACATTTGGGTTTTCCGCCTTTTGGCGATTGTGAATAACAATACTGTGAACACTTGTGTGCTATATGTACTTTAAAAGTAACTTTTTTCTTACTTAATAATGTACTTTTGAGAGTCTCCATCAACCTGTAAAAATTCCCCTCAAACATTCTTTTAAAAGTCAGCAGAGTTTTCATTGTTTGCACCATAATTTTTGTAGCCAGTCTCCCAGTGGTGGACACTTAGTTTCCCATGTTTTGCTGTCAGTGGTAAGCACCCACATCATCTCACACAAGGACAACTGGAGGATGCTATTAGTCGATTGATCAAGGGGTGAAAACTTACAGTTTTTATACTGATCTTCACCTCTTCTTAAAGGTGAGGCCAATTTATATCTCACCAGTAATAGATAAGCTCGCTGTTTCCACATGTTCTCACCAGTATCACGTTATCACTTTTTACCTTAGCCACCATGATAGGTGAAAATGGTATCTCACTGTGGTTGTCACCTGCAATTCCCTTATACATGAAACTGAACATCTTCCACTTTGACCTTAGGTGCAGGTGGTTGGATAAATCAGAAACCATTCTCAGTTTAAGTATATTGTTATCCTTGTTCCACACAAGTCTTCCTCTCTTGTTGGATTTGTTTATTCCTTTTTAGAATATGCTCTTCTTTGTTTATCTTGGTGTTCATGCAAAATGTGTATTATTTTGTTTAGCATATGTTGTACTTTAAGAGCCATCTGTATTTCCTTTTCCATGAATGTTTTGTTCTATCCTTTGCACATTTGGGTATTGGATTATTAGTCTTTTTTTTCTTATTGATTTGTAGAAGCTCGAAAATTGTTTCTAAGTTTGGCACTTGCCTTTGGACCTAGCTTGTGGTATTTGTTGCCACTATCACTTTTAGAATAAAGCCCCAATTCCTCACTGCAGCCCATATGTCCCTGAATAGTCCATTCTTTGCCTCTCTGCCCTCACCTCCCTCTACTCTCTACCTCTCTCACTCTGCTGTAGCCACAATGGTCTTGCTGTTTCTCAAATGGGCCATGTTCTCTTTTGCAAGAGGATTTTTGCCTTTGCTATTCCTGAAACTCTTTTCCTTTCTTTCCCTCCATGTCAAGTTAATGCAACTCCTTCTTTATTTTATTTTTTTAACAAGTTAATCTTATTTTTTTTTAAGATTTTAGAGAGAGGGGAAGGGAGGGAGAAAGAGAGGGAGAGAAATATCAATGTATGGTCGCCTCTCATATGCTCCCTACTGGGGGAACTGGCCTGCAACCCAGGCATATGCTCTGACTGGGAATCAAACTGGCAACCCTTTGGTTCACAGCCTGTGCTCAATCTGCTGAACCACACCAGCCAGGGCTGCAACTTCTTTAGATCCCATCCACCTCCTCTAGGAAGCCTTCCCTGACCACTTCCCAGGGATGATGTCTGTCCTGTTCACTACTATCTCCTCAGCACCCAGCAAAGTACACAGCTCATGATAGCTTCTCAGTAAGTACCTGCTGAGTGAATGAATGAAGGAAAGTGTCAAGAGGTGACAGGCATGTTGAACTGTTAAAAAAATTTATTAAAATGTCCAAGAAGTACATTAATGTCCACAGTGTCAGATGCCACAGACCCACAGATAACTGTAGCTCACAGCAAAACCAGTGGAACTCAAAGCTGTTCACACGCACACACATGCATGCCACACATGTGGCACACACAAACACACACACATCCCAAAGGAAAAGACCAAAAGACAAACCACCCACTTTAGAAAAGACCAGAACCCCTTCCCACCATAGAGGTGGGGTGGGGGCAGGGCAAGCATACAAGGGGGCCAAGGGCAGGGATCATAAACTAAGACCCTGCCCCCCAAAAAAGTTGCATCTCCAGCACCCCCAACAAAGGAAAATTCTTTTGTGACATGGATGGCTGAAGATGTGTTATTATATTTTTAAACCAACAAGAATTATCAAAACAAGAAGGCAAACCTATATCCCTGGGCTTTCTCAACAATGACAGTATGGTGGAACAGTGGACAATATCTATTGCAGGGAAGATGAAAGACCATGGTCAAGGATGAGGGTCTAGTTTGCACTTCTCAATCTTTTCCTAAATCTGCCTATGTGTGTGGGAGGGAGCACAATTATATTCCAATTCCTTCCCCAAAGCATAGGACAGCATTTGCAGTCAGACGGAAGCAGGAGTAAACCCTTACTTCTGTCTTGGCTGTGACTTCAAGCCAGTGCCATTCTCTTGTCTGAGCCTCAGTTTCATTATGTCTAAAATGGGAGCATAATGGTTCCTAAGCCAATGGGCTGTTGAGAAGATTCAAGGAGATAGTGTGTAAGTTTTTAGAGTGGTACCCACTCCAAAGTTGTCAACTGTATGACTTCCCAGGACAGATATAGGCCACACATTCCTTTCTCTACTGAACCTTTAGAGGGACCATATATTTGTTTATGTTTCTTTCCTGCAGAGGGTCATTTTCCAGTGGGTTTTTAACACTAATCCGCAGGTATTTACCCAGACTGGAGGGGCTGAGCATAGAAAAAATAGGGAAGAAAAGCTGTGGATCTTTCCTCCTAGAGATCGGGAGGGGCTGGATTCCCAGACTTCAGCTTGGAAAGTCCTTTTATAGGTTGCAAAGTTGGGGGAAGGCCAGGTGAGCTCTTTCCCACTTAAAACATTTTTTAAAAACGATGAGAGAAAAATGTGTGTATATGCTTCAGTTTTTAGCACAGTGAGTCTCTCCACAACATGACTGCAGGTAGGTGTCACTACTTCAGTTTTTAAGCATTTCCAGTCTCCCAGGCAATGGATGGACAGGGATGGGGTGAGGGCGGGACCCAGGGCAGTGCACTGCCAAGGTCTTCTTGAGGGATGGGCACTGGCACTGAGCTAGAAAACTTGGCACCTCCTTGGTCCAGGAAGGAGGTTTTTGTCTCCCTGAGAGATGGAGGGGGAAGAAATCTGGGCTTGTCAAGCCCTAAATATCCTTTCATCTGTGTGTGTGTGTGTGTGTGTGTGTGTGTGTGTGTGTGATTTACCACACATGCAGAACCACCAAATCTCAGCACTGGGACAAGACCTGGGAGGATAAGCAATACACCTTCCCTTATTGCCCACATATTGCTCTGACTATTCTGACCCCTAACTCTGAGGGCATGGAAGGAGGGTATTCTAAAAACATTCCTAAAATTCAGTACATAGGAGTTCAACACTGTTTATCCACCAAGACCAAAGACTGAACTTGGGTTCAAGTCCAAGGTAACAGAAGAGCAGTCCTCAAGTTCAAGCAGTGTGCTTCCATGTGGTTTTCTACTCCCAAAGACAGTGACCTTAACCAAAGGCTGCATTTAGGACATCTGAGAGTTTACAAAGCCTGCATCTCTGGTATGAAAAGCAATTCCTCAGTGGAAATCAAAACATACACTCTCACACCCTTATCAAAGCCTTATTTCAGTAACTAGCCATTAGCCTGGCCTAAACCAGGGCAGCAAAGAATGATCTTTGCCGATTGTGCTTCCCTCTACTGGGAGATTCTCCCAGAGTCCAGCCTGACTGGAACTGGATTTTCGGACACATGGCTGCACCTGCCAAGAGGACCTGTATATGTAAGAAAGAGGAGAGAGGGGCTTTTTACAAAGGATTATGGGGGGTGTGGTTTGGGGCTCAGGGGCTTCTGGACCCTCTTGTTTCTCTCTGGACTCTGTCTCCCCAGGCGAAGGCTCCAGAGGAGGTGTGGAAGGGGGTTGTGCTTTCTTTTGCCTAGTTCTTCAGCAGAAATTCCCTTCCTCCTTCTCCCAGTCCTCCACTGGGTGTTTCTTGTGTTTTCTACGCTCCTTGCGTGATTTATGGTGGTGATGCTGGTGGTGGTGTTGGTGGTGGTGATGGTGTCGCCGCATTCGATGGGACCTTCTGGCTGCTGGGAAGAAGAGGACAGGAAAGTGGCAAAAGGTGGTGAGAGGCAGGTGGCCTGATGCAGTAGCAGGCCTCCTCAGGGAGAGGGGAAATGGAGGAATCACCAGGCAAGCTGGTAAATTCTCACTCTTACGCAACACTATTATCAGTCAGGCATTTACTCAAATCAATGTAAGTAGTCATAAGATGTTTTAATTGGAGACTACAAATAGGTGGAATCTTGGGGTGTCTAGGGACAGCCACTTACGTTTGGTACAGACGATTTGGGGCCGGTCCCACTTGCCATTGCTCTGGCACTGGATGATGGACATGTGGTGCTGGACAAAACCTTCATCACACTGGTAGCGTACAGTGGCATGGATGTTGTATTTGGCTTTGCGGGCACCAATGAGTGAAGCATTCTCCACTGTTGGAGGGGGACCACACAGCACTAGGGACAGAGAACCCTCCAGTTAGGGAAGTGGCCACAACAGGGGCTGAGCTGGTTTCCTCTCTTGTTGGGAATGACACATCTGCCCAGGTCCTGCCCTTTGCCCAGCTGTGAACTCATGAGGCTAGAAGTGACTGTATCCATCTCCTCCACCCAGACCAGAAGCCTCTTACAGGCAGGAGCCTCCTGAACACCTCCCAACCGTTAACTCTTATGCATGATGAGAATGAAGGAGATGGCAGGTAAGAATAATTCAAGCAAATGAAAGGAAGTAAGGATGTGAGAGTTTGCAAAGAAACGGAAACAAGAATAAACAAAAATATAAGAGAAAGGTGGTCACAAGAATTCATGTAAGTGTTACCTTAATATGTAAAGAATTCTTACAAATCAGTAAGACCAACAACAAGCTGGCACCAAATTAGGCAAAGGAGATGAACTGGCAGGTCACAGGAAAATAAATACATATAAATAGCTTATCAACGTATGAACAGTTGGTCATTCTTATCCTTGAAGATATGCAAACTGAAATAATTTAATGAACAAATAAACTGATGAACAAAATAGGACTAGAGGCATGGACACATAGAACAGACTGACAGCTGTCAGAGGGGCGGGGGGGATTGGAAGAGATTAGCCAAGCACCATATATGCGGAGCCCATGGACACAGACAACAGTGGTGAGGGCAAGGAGGGGCAGGGGCCAGGTGGAGAGGGTCAAAGGGGGAACATGGGGGACATCTATAACAGTGTCAACAATTAAAATATAATATCGGGAAACTACTTTTCACCACTTAGATGAACAAAGAACAGAAAGTTTGAAAATGCACCAAGGTGGCAAGGGTAGAAAATAAAAGAGCATTCTCATACAGTGCTGGAGAGGGAAAACTGGGAGGGGCTGACTCTTATAAAAAAAAGAAAAAACATGGCCCTGTGAATGTGAGCCACAGGAGGGGAAGGGGGAGGGTGGTGGCGTACCTGTGCCCTTCTTACAGACATAGGGGAGGTTGTAGTTGCAGGGCACATCGTTCCAGCGCCCACTCTCGTGTGCCACCATCACCACACAATCCTCCCCGCCGGCGAAGAAATTGTCTGGTTGGTTCTCTCGCCAATTCTCATATTGCTGCAGAAATGGGGAGCAGGGAGTGCTCAGGGGACTGGCATCCTGGCCCAGACTCTGACACCGTCCACTGGGGAGCTCCCCTGGCCAGACCACTCAAACTCTTGGGGACTCAGTGTTTCCATCTCTATAATGGGTACTGTTCTATCTGCCCTGAGGGTGCAATTCAAGTCAGCCTGCCTCTGGCTGGGAAGCTCCACTGCCTCCTCCCTTGTGACTCTGCCTCCTGTCTTGTTCCCTGATCGTTTGTTCCCAATATGTGTCACTCACTGTTAGATAAATAGTTGAGCAAAAGACGACTGCAGCCTGGAAGCCCAGGAGGGCTTCCCTGGGGAGGCAACAGGAGAGAAGAAAACTCAAGGAAAAGAATGATGCAGGCAGAGAACAAGCAGAGGAACAGCTAGAGCCAAGGCCCAAAGGCAGGACTGAGCTTGTCCTATTTGAGGAATGGAATTGAGCCCAGTGGGGTTGAAGATGCTTGATGGAGTCGGGAGTCAGAGGGTGGGCAGGGGTCGGCTCTTGTGGCGGAGGAGAGGAGGTGGATTTTTTTTCAATTGTGGTAAAATACATAAAACAAAATTTACTATTTTAATAAATTTTAATCCTCATCCAAGGATATGTTTTTTATTGATTTTAGAGGGAGAGGAAGGGAGAGAGAGAGAGGGAAATTGATGTGAGAGAGAAACATTGATTCATTGGGTCCCCTACGCAACTCAACTGGGAATCGAATCCCACAACCTAGGTATGTGCCCTGACAGTGAATTGAACCCAAAACTTTTTGGTGTGTGGAATGATGCTCCAGCTAACTGAGCCACGCAGCCAGAGCGATCATTTTAATAAGTATTACGTATCCAGTGCATTGGCATTAATTAGATCCACAAAGTTGTACAACCATGACACTGCCTGTTGTTAGAACTTTTTCATCATACCAAACAGAAACCGTGTCCCTGTGAGCATCGCTCCCATGCCCCTGCCCCCAGCTCCTGACAACCACCAGTCCACTTTCTGTCTCTACAGATTTGCCTGCTCAGGACAGTTCATGTCGATGGAATCATACATACCTGTCTTTTTTGTGTCTGGCTTCTTTCACTGAGCATGATGTTTTCACCCACATTGTAGTGCGTGTCAGTGTTTCATTCCTTTGTCGCTGTATTTACTGTTTGGCTGGACCACATTTTGTGTATGTGCTCATCTGTTGATGGACATTTGGGTTGTTCTTTTTGGTGGTTATGACTAGTGCTGCTGTGAGTGTGCGTGTGCCTGCATCTGAGTCCCTGCTTTCACTTCCTTTGGACACATACCGAGGAGTGAAATTGCTGGGTCATGTGCTAATTCTATGTTTAACTTTTTCAGGAACTTCCAGACTCTTTTGTACAGCTGAAGGAGGTGGATCTTCATCTTGAGAACCATGGGGAGTCTGACCGGGCTTGAAACAGGGAGAACCCTGATCTGATGTATGGTTTTTAAAAGGTTCCATGTGCAGCGTTTCCCTTTGGGGCATTGAAAATATTCTGGAACTAGATATGGTGGTTGCATGATGTGAATATACTAACTGCCACTGAATCATACACTTCAAAATGATTAATTTTAGCCCTAGCTGTTGTGGCTCAGCGGATTGAGTGCCAGCCTGAGAACCAAAGGGGTTGCCAATTCAATCCCTAGTCATTGCACAGCGCCAGGTCCCCAGTTGGGGGCATGCGAGAGGCAACCACATATTGATGTTTCTCTCCCTCTCTTTCTCCCTCCCCCTCTCTCTAAAAATAAATAAGTAACATCTTAAAAAATAAAAAAGAGAGAAAACAGAACTTAAAAAATAAAATGATTAATTTTATATTATATGCATTTCCCCTCAATTTTTAAAAATCCCCATGGCCACCAGGTGGAGGGGCAGGAGTGTAGGTAGCAAGTGTGTGTGTCCTCGTGGGGGCTGCAGCAAGGGTCCCAGTGAGGGACATCAAAGGCTGGACAGGCAGGGCACGTAGGGATGTGGGAGTGTCTCAGAGCCCATGTCCGGATGACCAGGAGGTGTGAGCAAAGGAGTCTTCCCCAGCCCAGGGATTCTAGCCTCAGTCACTAGGTGGATGGGCCTCCAAGTGCAAGGAGGTTAGGTGATGTGGGCCTTCTCTGAAGCTCCTTTGCCACCCCAGACCTCTGATGGCTGACTTGCATAAGAGGGTGAAGTGAGGCCAGAACCACAGAGCCACAGAGCTTATCCATATCACTCTGTTCCAGGTGGGACCCTAGTCAGCAGCCTGGTAGCGGAAACCCAGGCTCCTGCCACTCACCAGCCCCGTGTTGTCCGTCCATTGGAAATCCCCCTCCACGATCCTGTCATTCAGGCCAATCCATGTGTTTTCATGTCCAAAACCTGCAGGGTGGAGAGTCCTCAGGGCTGGGCACCTGCTTCTCCCCAAGCCTAGGGTACCAGTTAGTGGCAGGTAGGGGTGGGGTAGAAGGGGAGGACCCAGCCCCTTTCCCAGCCTAGAGGTGGTCTGGAGGGGAAAGAGGATGGAGGTGGGGGTTAGGGGGAAGAGAACAAGGGTGGAAGGATGGAGGTAGGGTAGGAGCCGAAGGCAGGAAGGGTGGTGGTGAGGGAGGACCCCAGGCTCTCCCTCAGCCAGGGCATAGGCTGGAGCTCTGGCTGCCCTCTACCTGGGGCATTGGGGTGGAGCACAGAAAGGGCTGTTATTAGGTGCTGGCCTTGCCACAGTTTGTGGCTTAAACAAATGGCCAGAGTAAGGAATAAGCAAAGACACATCAGATCTTTGCAGAAATGAGAGTAAGGGACAGGAGAGCCAGAGGTAGCTCTGGACAGGGCAGCGGTAAGACCTAATTAGCCAGTTACTGAGGCCAGAGGAAGTGGAGGAGGATGTTTGATTGCAATGAGGAAAAGAAAGGGGTGATCCAGGGAAAGAACAAATGAAAGAATTAGGGGATGGCAGCAGTGGGGATAGTGGCCACTCCCAGAACTGGGCCCTCCAGGAGTCACAGACGAGGGCCCCGCCAAGACTGGTCAGATGCTTCTGGGCTGAGGTCTCCGAGAACGGCAACTGCCCAGCGAGATGGAGGACAGTGTCTTGAGATGCCTCCAAGGACAGTTTCACCCATGTACATTTCCCCAACAAAGTTTTTTAAGAGCCAAAAAAAAAATTAGGGGATGGGATGGGGGAAATGTTAATAAGTGGATGGACAAACAGACGGATAATGAATGAATCAGTAGAAGCCAGATTTAATTTATGTAACACTTTTGCTAGGTCTCTGCACAGCTCCTTCCCCATTTTATCCCACGCACCACAGGTGCTCCCCCATTGCCTTCCCTCCCCTGGGTGTTTTACTTGTCATCGGCCTACTAAGGGCCAGCTAAATTATAGTATGGATGTATTTAATTAGGTATTTACTTGTTTGCCTAAACCCCCCACAAGAATGGTATTCCCTGAGGACAGGACAATGTGCATCTTGATCACTGCTGTGTCCCAGTGCCTGGAATGGGACCTGGCACAGAGCAAGCACTCAGTAAATACATGATGAATGAATGAATGAACAAACTAACAAATGAATGAGTGAAGTGAATGTATGAATTAACAAACAAATAAATAGACTTGGAAATTATTAAGTGGCCAGGGTTGCGCTAATGAACACAGCTTCAGGAAGGTGGTTTCTTCAGGATCCTGGGGGACTTCCCTGGCAAAAGGACTGCAGGGCCACTCCTGCCCACCCCAGAATCCCTACTGTTAATGAAGCTGTGCTCCTCAGGTGAGTGGATGCTGGTCAGGTGGCCAGCTCGGCGGCGGCAGTCCCTCTCGGCATCCTCCCATGCTCGTCGATGGGCAAAGTACCGGTAGCAGTGGCCCTGGAACTTGTGCCAGCCACGGTCACAGCCCTCTGTGTCTGGGAGGTGGAAAGGGAGTGTGAGGGGCACTGGCCTTGACCCAAGAGGCCTGCTCTGTTGGCCATGAGCACAGCCAGCCCACCAGTGAGAGACAGGGCCTATCCAAGGTCACTGTGGGGCTAGGTCACCCCTCTCCCTGGGCCCGTCCCTCTCCCCCGAGGCTCTGTCCCCTACCCTTTCACCTCCCCCTCCCATATTCACTTCTTTTCTTTGTTGCTGGAAGAGGTTCTTCGGGAAGATCATTATACCCATCCCCTCTCGTCCCACCTGTGGTGTCTCCATCTCTGATCTGCAGGACCACACCCTCAGTGTGGACCTGGGAACTCAGGAAATGGTCTCAGAAGGGCCTAAAATTTCCCTCCTGGCAAAGGGCTCAAATAGATATCTCTCCCAAAGAGATAGACAAATGGCCAAGAAGCACATGAGAAGGCCATGATTAGTCATTAGGAAATGCAAATCAAAACCACAGTGAGATGCCACCTCATGCCCACTACGATGGCTATAATTTTTAAAAAGGCAAGTGACAAGTGCAGGTGAGGATGTGGAGGAATTGGAGCCCTTGTGCACTGCTGGTGGGAATGTAAAACAGGCAGCCGCTGTTAATAACAGTCTGGTGGCTCCTCAAAAAGTTAAACATAAAGCCCTGGCTGGTGTAGCTCAGTGGATTGAGTGCGGGCTGCGAACCAAAGTGTCGCAGGTTTGATTCCCAGTCAGGGCATATGCCTGGGTTGCAGGCCACAGCCTCCAGCAACCGCACATTGATGTTTCTCTCTCTCTCTCTTTCTCCCTTCCCTCTCTAAAAATAAATAAATAAAATCCTTTTAAAAAAAGTTAAACATAGGATTACCATATGACCCAGCCATTCCCCTCCAAAAAGAATGGGGGAAAAAATAGAAAGCAGGTGTTCAAACAAAAACTTGTACATGAATGTTCATAACAGTACTATTTATATTAGCCTCAAGAGGAAAGCAACCCCAAAAATCCATCAAGTGATGAATTGATAAACAAAACTGGGATCATCCATACCATGAGTATTATTCTGCCATAAAAAATAATGAAACACTGACAGGCTACAGTGTGGATGAACCTCAAAAACATGATGCTGCGCTTAAAAAATCCAGACACAGAAGGACACATAACATGTGACTCCATGTATAAGAAATGTCCAGAACAGGCAAATTGAGAGACAGAAAACAGATCAGTGGCTGCCAGGGGTGGGCAGGTGGGGAAAGAAGAGCAACTAGTAATGGGGGCAGGGTCTCCTTCCGGAGTGATGGAAATATCTTGGAACTTGCGGGAGGTGGTGGCTGCAAAACAATGTCAACGTACTGAATTCCTTTGACTTATACACTCTAAAAAGCTTAATTCTATGTTATGTGAGTTTTATCTAAAAAAACAAGGCAGTTTGTCTCCCATTAGATTCAGCTACAGACCCAGAGATGGAGACCAGTAGGATGTGTGGGAGTCTATGGCCCCCACACCCACTCCTGTTTCTGGGGTCTCGGCAGAGACCCACCTTTCTCACAGAGGCTGCCCGCATAGCTGGGGAGGCAAAGGCAGACGAAGCTGTTGACCTCATCGATGCAGGTACCTCCATTCTCGCAGGGGCTGGAGACACAGTCATCAATGTCTGGAGGGGAGAGGGAGAGAGGTTGAATGAGAGGTCAGCCCCCCCCCGGCTCCCAGACCCCACAGGAAACCAGACAGAAGATGGGGTCACGATCCTGCCATCCATCCGGACCAGAGTGAAGCAGCAGTGGTCTGCACAAAGAGGGCCATGCCTCTGAAGGTCAAAGGGGTGGAGCCTCACATAATTAACACAACAGCATTAATGAGAGCAGATGCCACTGAGCTGGCTAAGGGCCAGGGTGTGCAGAACATTCCACCTGACTCCAGAACAGTGATCATACTCTTGCCAACATACCCAGAGATCAAAGCTGGAGGGTCGTTCTGGAATGCAGAACCTAGGGAAACTGAGTGGCAGAGCATTTGCGAGGACTTGTGGAGAGTCATAAAGCTGTTTGTAGAGACAAATGTCCAGTTGAACTTCCTCTCCTACCAACCCTGCGTAGACAGTTCTTGAGGCATGTATGACACCAAACAAGTCACTTCCATTCTCTGAGACTCAGTGTCTTTTTTCTTTTGCAAAGTGGTAATAGCAATGGCACTTTTTTCAGGGTGGTTGTGAGTGGAGAGTCAATGGGAGAGCTCAAGGATTTACATCATTTGTATTTATTGTTATAATTTATCATTAGTAGCATGGCTATGAAGGTTGTGAAATTGATGAGATGATGCACAGGGCTCAAGAAATTGTATTATTTTGCCCTAGCTGGCGTGGCTCAGTGGATTGAATGCGGGCTGCGAACCAAAGGGTTGCTGGTTCGATTTCCAGTCAGGGCACATGCCTGGGTTGCGGGCTAGGTCCCCAGTGTGGGTGTGTGAGAGGCAACCACACACTGATGTTTCTCTCCCTCTCTTTCTCCCTCCTTTTCCCTCTCTCTAAAAATAAAATACTTTAAAAAAGAAATCTTATTATTTCTATTTATTGTTCTAATTTTATAACCTGTCATATTTCTTATTTTGGGCTTTGGGGTGAGTATCCAACTCCTGTGGTACCACCACTCCTGCTCACCCAGGAGAGGGTAGGGTCCCCTGGGCTCTTGGCTGGAAGGAGTCTGAGCCTTATTGCACTTTATCTTCTCCCGCCTTGCCCCTGCCTGGCAGTAATGGGAGGCAGCATGCCAGAGACTTGGCCGCCAGGATGAGACTCGGCTGACTGGTTCTGGGCTGATTTACTAGATCCAAGGAGTAGGGGGTGAGGGTGAAGGGAACATCTAGGGCCAGCATTTTGTGAACCCCAAGTTCTTGTGGGGATGGCCGCTGGGGTAAACAAAACCCAGGGTTCTGGAGTCAGACAAGTGCAAGTTCTGATCCCAAGTCTGGGGCACTCACCGATCTCACAGTTCTCCCCAGCAAAGCCCTGGTCACAGCTGCAGCCATACATGGTGCCGTTCGCTGTACAGGTGCCCCCGTGCAGGCAAGGGTTGTTTTCGCAGGGATCCAAGGGGGCTGCAGGAGGGGCAGGCAGTGCGGGGAGCAGTCAGGCCACCAGGTCTGCCTTCCTAGAATCCAGACCTCAGGCACCCGAAGCCCTCTGGCTCGATCCCTCTCTATGGAGTCCCCTCTGTAATTATCCCGTAAGTATTCACCAACCTCCTCTCATGTGCGCCTGTGACAAGTTTACTCCTTCCATAAACTTCCCCAAACCACCTGTGTGCTGCCCTGCCTGTGACAAAGTCCTTTCTCTGACTGAACTGGAATGGTTTTCCCAAAGCTTCTCTTAGGAAATCACCTTCTAGAACTTGTATTTCAGTGCCCTCCCTGACTCATCCCTCTCTCCTGGACATGCCCTGTTGGTCATTGTATTTCTCACAATTTGGAGCACAGAAGTGGACGTAAGCTTCCTGATGGTGGGGTATGAACAGCACTAGGAAGAGTGGGAACCATCACCTCCTTCATTTGGGCTCAACATCTTTTGATGCAATTCCAGTAGTTACATTGCAGGAGGGTGGTAGATTATAGTGGTTAAAATGATGGGCTCTGGAGTCCGAGAAGTTAGTTCAATCCTGGCTCTGCCCCTCACTAGGGGACCCTAGGCAAATTACTTCTCTGAATTTCAGTTGCCTCATCTAAAAAATGGAAATAAAAGTAGTTCACCTCTCTCTCTCAATCTTGACCATAATGCCGTGTGTGGCTGTCTGTATATTAGCCTCGGGCCTCTCGAAGGGTCTCAGAGATGCTTGGCATGCACCAGGTACCCAGGGTGCATTTAGGAATGTCGGTCCCTGCCCCAGCCATTTCTCCTGTCAGCTGGGTTTCCTTAGAGGCATGAGGATCTCCCCTCCCCATCTTGGGGGCCCAGATGCCTTGGTGGATGGTCTCCATCAAGGAGCCTGGGAGAGGCAGACCAAGAACCCCATCCCTCCCCAGCTGACACCCTTCCCTTGTCAGGGCTACATCCAACCCTTCCACTGCACAGACACTAAACTGAGCCCCAGGGAAGGGCCTGACTCAGTGCCACACAGCGGGACAATACAAGAGCCGAGACTGGCCTTCAGGGTTCTGGTAGCCCAGTTTAAGGCCCTCTTTCCAGCCTTTATAATCTAGAATTTGTTTCTGTTTTGGGCTTGTCTAGAGCCTCAAAAGAAACTGAGGTGGTAACAAGTTATCACCAATTCCCACATCTCCTGCCCTCCACCCTCGTCCTCTACTGACTGTTCTTCCTGCAACTGTCAAAGGGAGTCTATGTAAACCTGAGTCAGGTCATGTCCCTCCTCTGCCCAGATCCCTCCATGGCTCCCCAGTGCCCTCAGAGGACAGGAAAGTCCTCACTGCAGCCCACAAGGCTTTGTACAATGTGGCCAACATCTCCCTGCCCCACTTTTGCTTTCTCCCTTGCTTACTCTGCTCCAACCACACTGACCTTGCTCTTCCTACATGCCGGGCAGGGTCCTGCCTCAGGGCCTTTGCAGAGACTGTTCCCTCTGCCTGGAACACTCTTCCCCCAGAACTCTTTATGGCTCCTTCCTGGCCTCCTTCAGGCTTGCTCAAATTTCATCTGGTTAGAGAGGTCTTTCTGACTCCCCTTCCAGAACCAGAAACTACCCACTGGCATCCCCCACCCCTTGCTTCACCTGCCTCTTTGCTTGTATCACTTTCTAACCTCTGATACCATTTAGTTATTTGTTAGGGTCACTGCGATGTGTTTGTGCCTGCCCCCTCCCCAAAGCGGTGCTGTTCCACATGGCAGCCAAATATAGCTATTTAAGTCTAAATTAATTAAAAACGAATAAAAGTATAAATGTAGTTCCTCAGTTTCACCAGCCACTTTGAAAGATTCAGTAGCCACGTGTGGCTGGTTTGTGCTGTATTAGACAGCATAGCCCCAGGACATTTCCATTATCAGGAAAGTTCTAGAGTGCTGCTCTAGAATGTCAGCCTTCAGAGGACAAGAGACGTGGCCTCAACACGGGGCCTGGAACATAGCCGGCACTCAGTAATTGCTTGCTAACTGAATGAAGGTGGCTGCTGCCTTCCTGTGGGGACAGAGGCCTGTCTCTGGGGTGGTGGCATGTGCCCCTGTGAACTGCCAGAGGGGCCTGTGGCTGTGTCTGTCCTTAGTGCCGCCTCAGCACATGTGTGCACATGCATGGGGCTGCTGGGCGCAGGAATACGTGAGTCTCACCAGGTGCCCTGAGCTGCAGACAGCTGCCCACAGACTGGCGGTGACTCAGTCGCTTGCTGGTGCTGCATTTATTTTTGGCTTCATTAGCATTTCTGCAGCAAGCATTGGGTGGGTAGACACCCTAGTCTCTCCCCACCCTCACCCCCAGTGCTGCCTGTCTCTTTCCAACCTGGCTGCCACTGGCTTCAGTCTGGAACCAAGACTCCAACAAAGACCAAGCCAGACTCAGCCATAGTCCTGGGGGCTCTTCCAAATGCACTTTCCTTCACACCCCTCTGCATGGTCTCCCTCCCACCTTGCTAATCCCTCTTCTCTAGCCCCTTTGGCATTGAGCCTTCTTCCTGATTGCCAGTCCCTGCAGGGCAAGCTCACCCCTCCCAAGACCTCAGGAGTTTTTTCTGTTTGTTTTTATGGGAAGTAAGCATTATTCAGTCTAGTGGATGAGACAGACTATATTGTTAGTTGGCCTGGATTCAAACTTTATCTTTGACAGTCCCAGCTGCCTGACTCTGCACAAGTCACTTGACTTGTCCCTATGCCTCAGTCTCCCCATCCTAACCTGAGGATCACACTAAAACTTGTCCCACAAGGGCATGATAAGAATTAACCAAGATGATTCCAGTAAAGTGCTTGAATAAGCCAAGTATATGATATGGGCAGTCACCAACAGCCCATATAAGCATCAGCCTTTATCAATTCAGGTGCCCATATCCAGTGTCTGCCTGCCTCCTGATCATCTAAAAAAAGAAAATTATCCTGGGACACAGCCCAGGGGTGACAGGATGGGTGATGAAACCGTGCACCTGCTATTTCTCTCATGCACACTTCGCCTTCAAAAAAGAGAGCAAGTGTAATATCAATTGTATTAATAAGAGTGTTTTGCAACTCAGAAAAAAATGCCGTTTAATTAGCTGCTGAATTTTTTTTTAAAGCTCACTTGACCATAAAAACAGCTTCATATGGAAGATCTAAAAAAAGGGCCAGAATTTGCAGGTGAGCTGCGGGCAGACCTGGCTCCAGGAGAACAGGGTGGTGGCCTTCTATGAATTCTGCTGGGCACAGAGCAGCTAAGGCTTATGCAGACTTGGGCTCCCCTGAAGTAAGGCCGCTGACTAGCTGGTAGTGACAGTCCTCCCTGAGCTTCGGTTTGCTGCCTATAAAATGGGAGTGATGGCCCCCTGCTCCCACCCCTTCCCAGCACCTACTTTTCATGTGACTCAAAGTCCCTCACAAACCACCACTGAGTTCCAGCTGCAATTCTCACTCTTCTTGCCCTGTTTCCTTCATCCAGCTCCCCCCGGGGGGTGTCTGTGTCTAGCTCTGTCTTCTCCAGACTGGGGCATCCCTGAAGGCCACAGACTGGGGCATCCCTGAAGGCCAGCCCCCCCAGCATTACACAGCACTGCCCGACTCTGTGTGTCCATAAACATAAGTTGTTAATTGAACCAAAATCAAACTCCACTCGATGCCTCATCGTTTTCCCACCACTCACTGTGCCTCAGGAACATGTCAACTCGATCTCCTGCCTTTGGCCAGGCTGGTGCCTCTGCCAGGGTGTCCCTGTCTGCAATTGGACACACCTAATAAGTTTCCACCTCCCACGGCATCCCCTGCTAGAAACCTTCCCAGGCCCCAAGGGACAACCCTTCTTCCTTACTTTGGGCTCCCCTGACCCGTGATCCCAGAGCCCTCACCACAGTGGGCTGGGTGAGGCCATCAGCTTTGAACTCACTTTGCTCTGCATTCCCATTTGCAGAGGTCCCTTGCAGGGCCGGCTCCTCTCCACTTGCTGCCTCCTCCACACTGGCACTCCCTGCAAGGACCTCCAGCTCAAACTTGTCCAGGACCCAAGGGGTGGGCGGCAGGATGCTGGGGGAGTCCCACGGCACTGTAGGCTCCCCCAAGGACTCTGACACAGGCTTGCTCGTGCTGGCCGCTGTAAATGTCCAAGGAGCACGAGCAGGCTTCCCAGGGAGGCTGCCCTCGTGTGGAAGAGCTGAGGCTCCCTGTGTTCCCCAGGTCACCATCTGGCCCTCTGGCTCTGGGTAGGGTTGGGAGCTGGAGGAGTCCATTGTGGACGTGGCCAGGACCTCACCCTTGTCCCCCTGGTCCAGGGACATGAGGGATGTCACCACATTTTTATCCACGGCCACCAGAGGGCTCATGGTGGGGCTTTCATCTCTTTCAACCATACGAGATCCAGGTTTCCAAATCCCATCAGCATCACTGGAGTCCCCCATGGCTGTGGAATCCACAGGACCTACTGTACCTCCTCCGTCTGTAGCAGCCCAAGGCTCCAAATTCAGGGAGACTCTGGGGCCCCTCAATGGTGCAGAGGTGGGGTAGGGGTCCAGCTGTTCACTGTGTAGTGAGGGCCACATGCCCTGTGCCTCTTCCATGGTGGCCTGTGAGCTGGAAGTGGGGCTCTTTGCTGTGTTGAAGACTCCAGACCCAGACCCTGAGATGCCTCTTCCTCCCAGGGCCTCCGTAGCCATCTCCATGGGGGTGAAATCTGCTGCCACTTTCCTATCCACAGAAGCCTGTGGGCTGGATCTGGGGTGCTCAGTTTTGCCTAGTCCAGTGGGGCTGGTCTCCCCAGTTTCTCCAAAATCTGCCCTGGGAGAGTTAGGACTGGTTCCAGCTTGTGTATCCATGGCTACCTGTGAGGGGGCCGTGGGACTTCCTGCTTCATGGTCACCAAATGTCAGGAACATGGCCTCTCTATCTTGTCCTGTCAGGCCCAAGGAAGTGGGCAAGGAATACACTTCTGGGTGGATGGGGTCCTGGGGACTGGCCTGGGTCTCTGAGGCTGGGGAGGGTGCGGAAGTGGCTATGGCTTCACTGTGACCCTTGACCCCATTGGCCTGGGTGGGGAGGGGCGAAGGGTGTGGTAGGAGCCACACTTTAGGGGCACGAAGCATGGCCATGACAGGGAGGTCTAGGGAAGTGACCATGGGAGATGCCTCCCAGGGGACAGTGTTGGGATCCTCTGAGGGGCTAGGAGGCTGGGCAGTAGCCTCTGAGTGGGACCGGGGCAGTTTGGGGGTGGCCAGCCTCACACTGGGGCGCTTGGCTTCCTCCAGCTTGAAGCCAAGGGCTCTGCTGGGGCCTGGGATGCTGGGTGGGGCCACTGTTGGGGGCCACAGCCAGGGCTCTGTGGAGCTCCTGCCACCAGGGGAACCTGCAACAATATCAACAACAGCGATTATCTTTCGGCAGCTCCTTTCATCGAGTATCCTTGGTTTAGGCCTGGGGAAGAGAGAGCTCCTGATGCCAGGGGACCCAGCAGGGACTCAGAGCCTCCCCCCCCGTCCCCCTCAGACACCCACTCATGTCCCACCTCCTCCTTGGACCCCACTCACCAGCTCCAGGCACATCCACCTCATTGGACAGCACAGCCCAGGGACTTTGGCTCCTGCCACTCCCTAATGAGTCTGTGGCTGCAGTGGTCAGGGGAGGCTCCACATGATTCCCAGCAGCCTCTGGGGTGGTGGGGGGCTGGGTGTTGACCTCAAGCCTCCCCTCCAGCCCTTGCTGGGATTCCTGCTGCTGGAAGTGTCGCCCATTCAACCCTTTAAACCGTCCCCTCCTTTTAGGCGTGGGGCCAGCTGGAGTCGCCTCCCTGTGTGTGCTAGCCGAAGTGCTGGCCTCCAGGCTGCTGGAGTAGGGGGCCACAGTGCTCAGCCACTCCTCCTCAGCCTCCAGGGAAGGTCTTGAGGCTACCGTGGGAACCCCAAGGGCCGGGCTAGGGGTCTCTCGAGACTCCTGCTTCTCTGCCAAGATCAGAAGCTCTTCCTCCCCACTGGACACCAGAGGCTCCTGGAAGTCAGCGGTGACCACCTCCCCTTCCTCCAGTCTGGGCTCCAGTTCTTGGGCTGGGGGTCCTTCTGCGGATAGAATCTCTCCCTCATCCCCAGATGAGGGGGTCTCTGGGTCTCCATGTTGTGGAGAAAGGTAATGAGCTGTGGGAGAAAGCAGAAGAGGTTGTGTTAGGCTCAAGGGCTGGGAAGTTCTGCCTGAAGTCTACCCACATTCCAGCATACTGCAGCACAGACTTGTATATTTCTGTCTCTTTGTGGCCCCCTCTCTCTCTCTGGGTGGTTTCTGAAATCCCCCGAACTGAGAGAGGATAATGCAAAATTATCATCCTCACTATTCAGGCTTCACCCACTGTCAAGTTCAGAATCAACTGGGCACAGTAAGGAGTCAAGAGACAACTTGGCTAATGGGTGAAGATCAGGCAGTGGTCAACTCTCAGGGACAGGTCAGGCCTGGGCCTTGGCTCTTCCCCATCAAGGGACAAAGTGCGTAATGGTTTGGCCTTCTTAAATGGAATCTCCCCCTTACACAGATAGAAGACCCAACTCCTCTGAGTTGAGTTTTCTGAGATTGTAGCCCCACCCCAAGTGCAAAGGTCATCCCTGGTCTCATCCCTGGGGATGAGGCTTGACCCAGTTGAAGCATCACTTCCTCAAGGGGTGCTTCTGAGCATGGCTCCAGATAAAAGATGCTCCATACAGGGATTTGTCTTTCAGGGACCTCAGGCTTTGTAGCCCACCCCCTAAACAAGACTTCGAGCCAGAGCTTGAGGCTCCTTCCTTCCCCCAGCGCGGGACTCCAGGGGAAAGCCTGCCTCAGGGGCGTGGCCTTCACCCAGGGAGTGGCTTATCGCGGAGTAGTTTCCACGAATCTCTCCCCTGCCCAGACTGCCTCCACCAGAAAGCAAAGCTCTTGGTGTGGTGGATGGCCTTTACCAAAGTGCGTGCCCTAGGGCGAGGCCACCAGGGACGCACCCTCGGAAGCATCAGCAACAGGGACGCACTCCCCCGGGCTGGCCTCCCACGCACCACGGAAGCAATAGGCGTCGAAGCGCTCTCCAGGTGCAGGGAAGCCCGTGCGGTTATCGAAGCGGTAGACTGTGCGTACACCAGGGGCCGGACCCCCGCAGCGCCGGCGTGGCGTCTGGATCGGGTAGCGCACGCTGCCATCTGCCAGCCAGCCTGGGTCGCACTGGTCCAGGCCCTCGTGCCAGGCCAGGTGCAGCTGCCCCACCGAGGCCAGCACGGCGCCCTGGCGGCGGCACTGGGCACGAGCACCGGCCAGGGTCAGGCGGCGGGCCGGGCCCACGTAGAAGACCTCGCCTGTGGGAAGGCGTGGGAAGGTGTGAGGAAATCAGTAGCGTCTAGAGGACCCTACCCCGGAGCCCGGGAAGTGGAGCCCACTCCAAACAGCTCAGACCTGACCGAAGAGGCCGCTGTAGCTTCTTTTTACAAATGAGGTCCCTCGGGCTTTAGAGAAAGGGAGAGGCTAGGGAGAAGGATGAGGTAGGAAAGGAGGAGGCTGGGAGCGTGAGAGGCTCAGAGAAGAGGACAAGGTCTCAGAGAGGGAAGAGATGTAGAGAGAGAGAAGGGTACAGACAGAGGGAAGGGGCACAGAGGAGAGGGACTCAGGGAGGGAAGGAAAACCTTAAGTAAGGAGTAGGCCAAAGCCTTGGCTGCAGGTTTAAAGAAGGATGAGACTTGAGAGGGATGGGGGTGGGGGGAGGTGACAGGGCTCAGGGAAGGGGAGGGTCCTGCCAGCCCCAGACTTACCCCCCAGCTCACGGGCAAAGCAATACACATCGTAGAGTTCCCGTGGGTCGCGCCTCCCATAGCTCCTCACCCCTGGAAGGCTGCTACGGTCGCCATAGCAACCAGGACGGGACTGGGTGATAGGATACCTGACAAAACAAGGATGTGTGCTTCTGGGGCCCCCAAAAACCATGTTTCCCCAGAGGCTAGCTCTCCATTTCCCACCGTGTACCCCCTCACCGAACAGTGCGGTCAGAGAGCCACCCAGCGTCACAGTTGTCAAAGCCGTCCTCAAAGGCGGCCTGCAGGTGCCGTGGGGCTGCAATGGTGGCTGAGCTGAGACGACAGGCCTCTTGGGCCTGGATGAAGGTCAGCGCATAGCGATCCTGGGCTGCCCGGTAGTGGAACACAACACCTGTAGAGGAACATCCAGGATAGAGGGCTGATTTATTCTGGAATCTTCAAGAATAGACCTCCTTCTGCAGAGTGCCCCACACCCCTCAGTCTGATAACAACAGAACTGCTGCCCTACACTGCCCTGGACGACCTGGCTTCCCTCGGCACCAGACGTGGTGCTAGGGCAGTGGTGGGGAGTGAGACTGATATGCCCCCATTTTACAGACAAGGACACTGATAACAATGGCCATAAAGGGCTAGAATTTGTTAAGTATTTACTACATAAAAAGCATTTATAAGCATTATCTCTTTGAAATTAAGGCTCAGAGAGGTCCAGGGACATGGCCAGGGCCACACAGCTAGATTAAGACAGAGCCAGAATTCATATCCAGGAAGATCTGACTCCAAAAATAGCATTCTTCATGCCCAGGGTTAGGCCCTGGAGGTGAGAGGAGACATGCAGAAGAGCCAGAGAGATTCTGCCATTTAGGAATTAAGTACATGCATCAATAGGAGAAGCACTGGCAACAATGGGAGATCAAATGTGATTATGGTCCAACCTAGGAATGGAATCACAAAAGGCTTCCTGGAGGAGGTTACTTGTATGTAAGTCAGGATGTGAAGCCCATTATTGAAGGGGCATACTGTGAGTCAAATTCCAATTTAGGGATGAAAAAATGACTGAGCAAGGCAAAAGAATGAAACTTTTTGCCGCATCTTATCAAACTGAGAGCCCCCAAAGTCGACAGCTGCGTCTTAGTCATAACAGTGTCCTTAGCCCCAGGCTGGCATGTGGTAGGTACTCAATTAATATTTGGCAGAATGAATGAATTGAACAAACCCAGATATGGAAACTCTTTCCTGCATCAAATACCAACTTTCTTTGAGGATTATTGGTTTTGAGAAGTGAGGCCTTGGAAAGGGAATGACTGGTTAACCCCATAAAATATACAGTGAGACACTGTTGGGAGGGGAAGACTGCCCTAGGATCGGGCTCCAGGCACTTGCCCTTGGCCAACAGAGGTTAAGCGATACTGACTTCCTGGAAGGAGCCTGCAGGCGGTTTTCCACACGACAATCCATTCACTGAGTCACTTCTCAAGTATCTGTTGGGCATCTACAGTGCCACTCTCTGTTCTAGGGCTTTGGTTTAATAATAATAATAATAATAATAATAAATTTGCCTTGTTTGCCTTGATAAGTTAGGAAAACAAAAACTACACTGGATATTTCAACAGCAAGAATTTAATACAGGAATTGGTTAAACAGTATTTAAGGACTGTTATTATATATTTCAATCAACTTTTTAAAAAGAAACTTCCTTTAAAAATTTATTTAAAAAGGAAATGTATATTACTATTTTAAACAGAAAGCCAATATCTTTTCCCCTCTGTGAAAATAGGTAACTATGAAATGGACTTAAAACATGATTGTGAAATCCTATGGAATCCTGTGGTCCACAAGAGACCAAGCCAGAGGCTGCTCACTCTTAAGTAAAAGAGAGACAGCTATTAGAGAGGCAGTAGTACCTGTGGAGACCTGCTTTGTGACTTTATCAGAAATATGGAAAGGGAATCATTGATATTCACTGAGTGAGCTTCAGGTTCAGCCCCTCCCCCTCCCAGCCTTGGTACCACCCCTGCCCTCAACTGACCTGTCACCTCCAGGGACACCAGGTCCTGCTCATCCTCGATGCCCCTCACCACCTGGCAGCGGTAGAGCCCGGAGTCGCTGGCCCTCAGTGGCCCCAGTAGCAGCGTGCCGTTGGCCCGGTGCCGGGGATAGGCAGGCAGAGACACACGTCCCTGCCAGCCCTTGGCCACTCGAACCACGTTGTTCTTGGCCACCAGGATGGGCAAGTCCTGCCACTGGCCTGATGCGGTGCGCACCTTGGTCCACTTGATCCGAGGGGCTTCTCCAGCTGCCCCTGGCCGTGGCCGCAGGCTGAAGAGACAGGGCAGAGCCACAAGCTCTGCCAGTGCAGCTCGCACAGAACCGGACCCCACCTTCTGCATGTGGAGCCCCTTCTCAGCAGCAGTGGTGGCAACAGTGGTGGCATCCTGTGTGCCTGGAATGGGGAAGGTGGAGAAAGACCTGACCCAGAGGCAAGGACCGGCAGAGACTATTTCCTTCACTTTACAGGTAGGGAGACTGAGGCCAGAGAGGTTAGGTTGCCTATACAACATCACGATGCAGGGCACAGATCTGTGATTTGCACCCCAGTCTGTGAGCAGAAGGGGAATGGGGTCAAATCCCTTTGTAGTTCTGTCTCCATTCGAAGTCCAGATCCCAGGGGCCAGTGACTCTGTCACTAACTCACTGTGTGGCCATGGGAAAGTCATTGTCATTCTCTGAGCCACAGTTTCCCCAGAAGTTAAGAGAGAGGTAGCCATTGGGAGGGAAATGTTGTTTGTAGAGTACCTTCTATATAACAGGCACTTTATAGATAGCAAGCAGCCCATCAGATTTTCAAGACCATCTGCAGAGGTAGCTTCATGTCATCATCCTCTTTGGGTGAGAAGCATTTCTAAAGCCTGGGCTTTTGACTACCACTGGGGAAACGCCAGGAGATGCATACACACAGACCTTTATTTCCATTGCCCTGCCCATGACAGGCATCACTAATCAATGTACACACTATTCTTTTTCCTCCCTCCCCCTCCATCCTCCCTCCCCCATTCTCTTTCTCTTTCTCTCTCCTTTCCTTCCCATCCTTTTCTTCTCTCTCTCTCTCTCTCCAGCTCATCATAGCAAAACAGTGAAAGGCAGACACCTCCAGCCTTTGCTGGCATTGACTAAAAATAACCTCTTAGGTGTCTTGTTCGCTTTTGACTGTTCAAAGACCTTTTTCATCTATTCTTGTTTTATTCCGAACACCAAGCCAGGGAACCAGCAGAAAGCTCTTGAGCTAAAAAGCTGCCCCATCTTGTACATCCCTCAGACCTCAACCTCTCCCACAGCATAGGCCAACTCACCCTGTTCCCCAGCCACCACAAGCAGCATCTGGAGCAAAAGGAGGCCTGAGGCCCAGATAGACACAGCTCCCATCCTGGACCTGGATGAAGGAGGAGAGGGAGGGAAGAGGGGTGAGCACAAACTTCCCAGACAGTTGGCATGGAAAAACCAAGTACCCCCTCTACAGATCTGGAAACTGGGGCTCAGACAAGCCAGTGTGTCAGTCAAGGTCACACAGGCAGCAAGCAAGGGCAGAGCCAAGATCCAAACCCAGAAACAACTGACTTCAGAATGCTAGCAGTGATGTCTCATATCAGAAGTACAGGTGCTCGAGTGAATCAGAACCTGGGGCTGTCACTTTGTCTGGTCCTTGTTTTGTGACCTTGGGCAGAGTTTAGCATTTCTGTGACTCAGTTTCTTCATAGGTCAGAAGGGGATAACATCAGGTAGTTGAAAAGAATAGATGAGTCAATACATATAAATTGCTTAGAACTGCCTGGCATAAAGGAGCAAATTTCAGCTGTTATTATTATTGAGTTTAACCAACTTATTTTTCAAGTTGGCCTCCTCATCAGACTGGGGTGGGGGTTCTCTTACAGAGCAGCTGCCAGTCCCAGCCTGCATAGGGTCCCAGGCCTAGGAGCAGGTTGGTCTCCAAGCCAGCCTTTAATCTGGGTTTGCTGAATGACACGATTCTCAGCTTCAGTTCCAGGATTTGGTTGTCGCCAAGATTCTATTCTTGGTTTCTGGGATTTTTGAGGTGCTGCCAAGTCCCAGCAGGAGGAAGGGGCCTTGCCCATTCCCACCATCCCCTCCCCCTAACTTCCCACTGTCTGGTGAAGAGATACCTCCTAGGTCCACAGAGGCTCCAGCTGTGGGTCCAGCCTTCTACAGGGGTTGTGGCCCACGGACATAAAGTGGACAACTGAGTGTGAACTGTAAGCAAGGCCCATCCCAAGTACTGGGACACAGCAGTGACCTCCATGACCTCACACTCTTCCAGAGATTAAAAACCCTGGGGAGGGGGCCCCTCTGGGTGGACTCAGGACTCACCAGAGTTCAGGAAGTGCCAGCAGATGGGAAGTTAGAACATCACCTATAAACTCACCCCTTGCACATCTCCCTCCTGAAAAGAATAAGCCTGAGAAGGAAGTGTGGGTGGAGTCCAGAATAGGGATTTATGGGGGGCCGGCTGGCCCCCTCCAGAGGGCCTTTCCCAGCTCCCAGAGGCCCCAGCTGAGAGGCCCACCCAGGACCTGTCCATGGTGCTGAACTAGGGCAGCAATGCAGCAGCTGTGCCCTCTTGGTCTTCTCATTGTGGTGGGGCCCAGAGAGGGCTAGTGGTTTGCTTAGAGCTGCACAGCAGTGTAGAGGCAAGCCACTGGGACTGTCTGGCTGGGTATTGGAGGGTGGGGCAGGACTCTGGGCTGCACCTATCCCAGGAGGGTCTGAGGAAGGGGCAAGTTCCAAGAATTCTCTCTCACACACACACTATAGTTAAGAGCTCAGACTACATCCAGAAGGCAAGGTTTGCCTTCCATTCCCTACATGTCACATGACCTAAACAGTTTCCCCACATGTAAAATAAGGATCACTCAGCATGTACCTCATAGAGTTACTGTGAAGATAGAATGAGCTAAGACCTGTGAAGTCCTAGATGTTAAATTAAAAAACAGTTCTTTGTGCAAAGCCTCATGTACATACTCAAATACACAGAGGTGGCCCAATACAGTGACACACAGTTTCAGGTACACCCCCCATGCACACATGCTCTCCCATACACACTCAGTTCCCTCTACTTGCACCTCACACACCCCCACCCCTTCTCTTAAAAATATCTCCTCATCAGGGCCTCCAGAGGTGAACATTTACAGAGCTGTCTGGGGCTTGTCTCCTCATGAATAATGCATGAGATTCATGCATATGCAAGTAGGGGGTCTGCAGGGGTTGGGGGAGGGGCAGAGAGACAGGAGGAGGTGTGTGGTGTGTATGTGTCCCCCTTCTCACACCTACCTCTTGTCTCAGTAGGCAGTGAGTGAGGTGAGTTTGCCAACGGGCATTTTAAAAAAAGATTTTATTTGTTTATTTATTTTTAGAGAGAAAGGAAGGGGGAGAGAGAGAGAGAGACATTGATGTGAGAGAGATACATCTATTGGCTGTGCCCCAACCAGGAACCAAACTGGTGACCTCTGGGTTCGCAGGCCAGCACTGAATCCACTGAGCCATACCAGCCAGTGCACCAATGGGCATTTTTGTGTGTTTGTACCCAGGTGTGCATCAGGGTGCTGAATCCGGGTGAGGATATCAATGAGGTTGTGCCCTGTGGTGTATGGACTTGTGTCCAGTTCCCCAGCAGCTCTATGCACCAGTGGAGCATAGGGGGCCCCCTGTGGTCTCTGGAGGTGTGAATCTGAGTGCCCTTCAGCAAGGAGTCAGGGGGTATGTGAGTGCATAGGCACGACTGTGGAACTCCTTGGAGGAGAAAGGAAGCCAGCTCAGTAAATCATTCCAGGCTGCCCCTTTGGGACCTGAACTGCTTGCCAATGTCCCCCTTTTAGTGTCCAACTCTGTGTACAGACTACGTCTCAAACCCTCACACTCAGGGTCCACACTGCCAGTCACATGGAGAGGACCCTTGCTGTACACATGGGATATCACGCGCAGCCACACAGCCCAGACAAGAGCCCAGGAAAAAGAGAGAAAGACACACATGTAAAGATTCACAATGACATTAACAAAGAGAGACAATATGGGCACTTACAAGGCAGGCAGCATGTCTTCTGCACAAAGACACACACCCACATTCTCAGGCTCCCCACATAAACCGCTTGATGAGGCCACAACATCAGACACAGCTCCTCACATGCACATGGGAATGGCAGCCCCTGGCACAGACTGGGCTGGGCAAATGTGGCCTTGGTGACTGATAGGCACACATCATTTTGCTATCTGGTGACGTGGCCCCTGGCACAAGTTTCCAGGCAAAGACACATTTCTGTCACATTAGACTCACAGAGGACCCCAGACCACCCCCTCTCCATGGGTACATACCCTCTCCCAGCATGGGGTAGACATACACACAAAGCTTCCACCTTCTGGAGGGTCATCTTCCATTTGGGAATGCCTGGAAGCCAGGGAGGCTGCTGGGTTCTGAGTTCTCACTGTCTGCCCACCCCTCCCTCCCTGCCCTTCCCCCAAGTACCCCACTGGGGCCCAGGGCCAACCCTCTCCTCAGCCTGGCCGTCTCCCATTAATGCTGCTGAGAGGAACAAAGCCCTGTGCACAGGGATGGGGGTCGCTGCCATCCAAGCTGAGTCTGGGGTCCCAGCCTCCTACTTCCCAGTGCCTGTGCCTCCAAATCAAACCAGGACTCCCACATACAACCATATGGACAGCTGGAACTGAAGGGGTGAGGCACAGGTCTGTGTCTCACTGTGAGGACACTGTCAGATATGGAGGTGTTTATGGTGGCCCCCCTCTTTGGACTAGTGCCTCTCACAAGTCCTGGATATCCACAACTTGTGCTCAGGAGGCTCTGACCCTTGATTCACCTGGGAGACCCTGTGTGCTCCATGGGAGAGGGGAAGGAACCCTGACTCCAGGCCTGAGGGAACAGCAAGGACCACCTTGGGAAGAAGCCCCCAGAGCCTCCTCCCTGAGTCAGGATATGGCAATAGGACATGGGCCAAAAGGACGGGGAGACCACAGGGTACCCCTTCCCTGTGGCCCCTCACTCTCTATGCAAACCCCTTTCCATTGGGCTGATATGGGGACCCCCTCCTGCTGCAGGCCAGCCTGGCATCTTCTATTCATCTGCAAACTGGGAATCCCCACTTAAAATACTGGGGTGTCTCACTCAGACACTGGGGTGCCCTGTCCCAGAGTCCTGACACAGCATCTGGGTATCCCCCTCTTCTCTCTAAACTATGGGTGCTCCCCGCTGGCTTTGGTTCCCAGTGCCCCCTCCCCAATTCTGAGACCCATCCCCAATCAGGCCCCCTCGCCACCATGGGGTAGGCTCCGCATTCCTTAGATAACCTTACCCCCAAATCCAAGTGCCTGTCACATTTCCAAGCGCCCTCCCAGTTTGCTTTCTCTCCCCAACCCGGAGGTCCCCCTCACCCCGTAACCCCCTCCCCATTCTGGGGACATCTCTCTGATAGAAGGCTCCCCCCCGCCAATCCCGGGCTATTTCCCTAACCCCCGAGGACCCTCCCTCAAGCAGCCCCTTTCCTGCGACGGACCCCCACCTGTCTTCTAGCTCGGACGCATCCCTGGGCGGTTACCCGGCACAAAGGACGCTCAGCTTGGCTCTCGAGCGCCAGGTCCAGCTCCTGCGCCCTGCGCTCGGCTAGCCCCAGCGCCGCTTCAGCGCTTATAAAGGGGCCGGCGAGGCTGTTTTGCGCATGCGCCTATGGCAGCCCGCGGCCTCTGGCAGCAAAAAGGAGGGGCCCCTTCTGTCTAAAACACCCTCCCCACTCCTTCGACCACTTGCCCCACCCAGGGGGAAATTGCGCTTGCCTTACTCTCATTCACTTCTCCTCAGAAGCCACGTTAAATGTCCCCAGACATACCTTGGTGGGCCTGCCCCATCATACAGATGGGGAAACTGAGCCCCAGGGAGACAAAGTCACTCCCAAGGTCTGGTGGAGGGGAAGGACAGAGCTGGGACTCTAAACCTGGCCCAGCTGACTCTCTAAGGCTCATACTTGGAGCAATTTTGACTAGTTATTGTTTCATCCTATTTTTAGGGAGGAAGCTGAGACTCAGGATAGGAAGATCCCTCGGTTCCACAGCTGATAAGAGACTCCCAAGGTAGGCCCTGGCCTGTGTGGTTCAGTTGTGCATCGTCCTGCAAGGCAAGAGGTCAAGGTTCAATTCCAGGTCAAGGCACATGCCTGGGTTGCCAGTTCTGTCCCAGGTGGGTGCATGTTGGAGAGGCAACCAATTAATGTTTCTCATCTCGCTCACATTGATGTTTCTCTCCCTCTCTTTCTCCCTCCCTTCCCCTCTGTCTAAAAATAAATAAGTAAAATCTATTTTAAAAGAATGAGAGAGAGGCTCACAAGGTGGGAGCCCAGGGGTGTCACTCCCCAGAGCTGTTGTCACCAGCTCCAGCCAGAATGTACCATTAATACATTCCTTTGTCCAACCAACATTTATGGAGCGCTTCCTGTGGACCAGGTACTGTTGTCACAGGAATATTTTTGCCTTGAGCAGGTGGCATGTGTGTGTCTTTGCAGAAAGATCCTAATCTTAAAAAGCTTACATCCATGCAATGGAATATCACTCAGCTATAAAAAGCAATGAAGGTTTGACACGCGTTGCAATGTGGATGAACCTTGACAACATCATGCTGAATGAGAGAAGTGACATACAACAGGTCACATGTTTTATGATCCCATTTGTATGAAATGTCCAGAACAGACAAATCCATAGGGACAGAAAGTAGATTGATGATTACCAGGGGGCTGGCAGCAGAGGGAATGGGGAGTGACTGCTAATGGGTACAAGGTCTCCTTTTGGGATGATGAAAATGTTCTAGAACTAGACAGAGGTGATGGTTGCACAATAATGTGAATATACTTAAAGCTACTGGATTGTACAGTTTAAAATGGTAAATTTTATGTTCTGTGTATTTTACCACAATGAAAAATGGAAATGAGGGGGGAAAAGAGCTTAAAGCGGTCAGCCCCTGCCCCTCTTCCTTCCCACGGTCCCAGTAGCTCAGGGCTGACCATAGGTTTCATGGGGCAGAGGGTCTTTAAGTCCACCAAGGGGCCTATGCCTGTGTGTGTGGTGTGTGTGTTTGTGTCTCTGAGGGTGGGTCTCAGCTTGGTGGGGGAACAAACAGGGGACATGCTAATACTTTCAGCAAAATTACCAAAGAGGGAGTGGGAATGAGTGGAGGATGAGGCAAGACCCCGGGGAAGCAAGTCCACACATATGTGTTAGTTCTTGTGTGTGTGGATCCAGCCTGCTGGGTGAGCAGTGGCCCCAGGGGCCAATGCAACACACTGGGGAGCTTTGTTTACTCTCTGACTCGTCATCCCAGAGGAGGGACAGAGGTCAGGGATCACACTGGTGTGTCTACAGGACAGGCTGGTGTGACAGCGTTGTGGCTGATTCTGGGGTCTGGGTATGGTTGTATAGAAGCTGGAAGCTTGGCCTCCACAAGTCCAGCATTCAAACCCCTCTCCACCTCTTCTAACAGAGTGACTCTGGGCCAGCCGCTTTGTTTTCCTGTGCCTCAGCTTTCCTGTCTGAAACAGGGATAATTAAGAGTCTTCTCCATACAGGATGGCTTGGAAAATGAGAGGGGAAGGAAATGCACAAGATGAGGGCTGCTAGCATGCTGCTGCCCACTTTCCATCCAGGGAAACTGAGGCTCAGGGGGACCCACAATATGGGTCAAGTGTGTGCCCAGGTCTGTGGCCTCAGAGCCAGGATGACTCCCACCTCAGCACCCCCCACTCCTCCACCCCCTCTTCTCCCCACCCCATGGTCCTCCTGGCTGGTGCCAGGGCTGAGCTTAGAGGGGCTGGCCTGGGGCCCAGGGGGTGGGCTGTTGCCGGGGGCTTGAATGAGGCAACCTTGCCTGGGAATCTGCTGGGCTCAAAGAGCTACTTTATTTATAGACCAGCACTGGGATTGGGTGAGCCACCCCCAAGCCCTGAGTGCCTTCTCTGTCCCCGCTCCTCACAGGGGCCTCAGGCCAGGGGCTGCAGTGAGTGGGTGGAGGGAGCAGGGGAGGGGGGCTGGTGGGCCAGAGCAGGCTGGATCCTCAAGAGCTGGGTCTCAGAGAGAGACAATGTCTCCCAAGTGCCTCTCAGTATACCCAAGGTGACACACAGACACAGCACATGCAACCAGACTCACATCTTTTTTATAAAGATTTTATTTATTTATTTTTAGAGAGAGGGGAAGGGAGATAGAAAGAGAGAGAAAGAAACAACAATTAGTTGCCTCTCACATGCTCCCAACTGGGTGCCTGGCCTGCAGCCCAGGTATGTGCCCTGACCAGGAATAGAACTGGCTACTCCTCATCTTGCAGGACAGAGCCACACCAGTCAGGGGGAGATTTACAGCTGTCTTATACAATGTCACAAACAACTGTGACACACAGTCACATCCTAGACACACAGTGACTGCACAGGGGGCTCATGTATGACCACACCTGGCAAGACAACATATAAGTCAGACAGACCACAAAATAGCCATACACAAGCCACGCCTGCTGCACAAACTCACGACTGTGAGTCCAGCCCCACATAGAGTCCCCTCACATTTAAATACCTACTGCTGTTCACACACCCCTGTACCTCAGACTTCCTGGCTGCCATAAACATCCCGCATTTGCCCCATGTTGTTCACACCCAGCCATGTTTGCAGACATGGACATACCTACAGAGAGCCAGCACCCAGTCACTATCATCTGGCACCACATCACCAGCATGGAGACACACGCTCTTCCCAGGGTCACACTCAGCAAAGCCACTCACGCTCACCACTGAGCACACCTAGTCATGGCCCAGGGTGTTCCCACATGAGCTCACTTCAGTCCCTTCATGCTCGGCCACCCTCCCACTCCCGCTGTTACCCCCACTTACCCAGACTCCCAGGCTCACATCCTGCCAGGATTGACAGGTCCAGCTGGCACTGAGGGAGTGTCCATCTATTCTCAGCCAGCCCTGCTGGCCCCAGGCAGGACCCAGTGAATAAATCAGACCCAGACCTGTCCCTAGGGGGCTGCTGGCCAGAGGACCCCATCACACTCACCCTTGAAGACTCTCCAGGTTGGGGCCATGGGACAACCTATTCCCAGGGGGAAACCAAGGCTCAAAGCTACTTAAGCTTCTTTCCCTGCCTTGCTCCAAGATGACAAACTCATGGGAAGTACAACTATTTTCTGCCTTCCCAGAGAGTCTCTGCTGACCAATACTTGCTGTGTGACTTCAGCAAATCCCTGACTCTCTCTGAGCCTCCATTGCCTCTCCTGAAAAAATGCAGAACTCAGCTCAGTGAAGGGAACTCCAGAGTCAGACCGGGGTTTGAATCCTGGTCCCCTTGGGTGACCTTAGCCAAATGATTTTGCTTTTCTGTGCCACAGTTTCCCTCAGTGAACCAGAATTGCAGCTTCTTGTTCTTCTAGAGCACCCTCTGCTCCACCCCTAGGGTGAGGGGGAAGGGACGGCCCAGTCTCTCCTCACTCAGGCAAATGAATGGACCACTTTTGGCTGTCCTGATGGGAGCTTACAGCTGGTAATTCCTTGGAGAAACAGGAGGCCCTTTCATGCCCAGGCGCCAGTGGGGTGAGGAGGTGGGAAAAGGGTATGAGCTGGCTTCATCCCAGTGGGCAAGGCAGCTCCATGCCAAGACCAGGAGTGGCGTGGAGGGCCCTGGGACAAGCACATCCTCCCTGGGGGACCTTGGCCCAAGTGGCTGTACAGTCAGTCACCTGTAAAATGTAGGTAATACAGACCAGCACAGCTGTTTTAATAAGCCAGTGGATGGAGACGAAACGTGGCTTCAAGTTAAACACAGGGTGAGCTCTCAACAAAGGTCAGCACTATTGTCATGTGTCATCCTAAAGAGCTCACTAAATTCTCCAGCAGTTCTAGAAATAGAATTCCCTCTAGTTCACAGATTTTAAAAAATGCTCAGATGCTCACATGGTTGCTTGTCCAATGTCACACAGGTAGTTAGTGAGTGGCCCAGCTGGGATTTAAACTGTATATGGGGCCTCTGGGGTCCATGCTCTTCCTAACTTCCTCTGGGGGGTTGGAAGTGTTTTCTGCCATGTCCAACCCTGATCCTGAGACCAGCAGAGCCAGGTCTGGATGGCACCAGGTCATGACTGAATGCAGGCAGTCCTGGCAGGCAGGGGCTGATGGGGCAGCTCTTCTGCTAGTGTCCCAGTTTCCCAGCCAGCACCGCCTTCTAGAGCAGGCTTGTGCAGACGCTAGTAGGATGCCAGGAGGACCATTCCCTCAGCCCTTGAAGAAAGGGGCTGGGTCCCAGACCATTCAGCGGAAGCCAGGAACCACAGCCTCCTGGCAGTGGCTAATCTGTCTCAGAACCCTCCATTCATGTAGATCAGATGGCGTCCTGCCCTTTCTCAAACACTTTCCATGACTGCTCCAGGCTCAGGAGGATCTGGCTCCACATATTTTATTCAAATTCGTGGTCTTTCACCCAACCAGGCTTTTGGTTATGCTGTTTTCCGTGCCTGGACCCCACAAAGCCCCAGATTTTTCTCACTCTGGTGCAGCCACAATATCTCCTCTCCCAGGAGGCCCTCCTACACCAGTTACCTAGGCACTATCTCTTCCCCTGGCTCTGCCCTGGCCCCATGGGACTGGGAGTGGGTGTGTATAGCTCTGTATTACCCAGATTGAGGATTCAGCACATGTGGGGCTGGAACTGAGGCCTCTCACAGTCTGCAGCACCATCCAACACAGGGCTGGGCAGTAGAGAGTGGCAGGAGTTGTTTAGTGTGAATCAGTGAACCAGATCTTTAGCCTGGTATCTGAGACTTTCTGTAACCGGTTTGGCAAACTCCTGTTCATCCTTCAAAACCCATTTCACAAGCCCCCTCCTCCAAAAAGCCCATCCCAGGCAGCGTTTACTGGAAAAACAGGTTTAAAGGTTGGGCCACATAAGACTGATGAAGACTTCTTGTAAACATTAATCAGTCCCCTCCCGTGTGCACCCTTTTTTTTGGAATCTTTTTAAATTTATTTTTTAGAGAGAGGAAAAGGGAGGGAAATAGGGAGAGAAACATCGAAACATCAATCGGTTGCATCTCTCACATCTCCAACCAGAGACCTGGTCCACAACCTAGGCATGTGCCCTGAGCTGGAATCGAATCATGGTCTTTTGGTTCGCAGGCCAGTGCTAAATCTACTGAGCCACACCAGTCAGCGTTGAACCTGCAACCTGCTGACGTACGGGAAGACACTCTAATCAACTAAGCAAACTCGACCAAGGCCACAAATGCTTGCTTTTAGGTACCAGCCTTCTTAACTCAAACACTGGACTAGGGCCCTTTAAGAGGCGGGCACTGAGGGGCGGGGCCCAGTTCAAACCCCGCCCCGGGAACGACGCGGCCTGAGTCACATTGCTTCTGCGCGGTGTCCATGCGGTTCCGGGTCTACGTTTTGATTCTCCTTTCCCAGAGAAACTGAGACTCGGAGCCGAGACGACCGCCCGAAACGCACAGGACACCTGGCCTCGGGTCATTGGTAGTTTCCCCGAAACCCCCAATTTTCCGGCAAGGGATTAATCAAGGGGACATTTAGGACTGGAGTGGGTGGGGCAGTGACGGTTCCTGTCCGGTTTTTCAGGTGAGGACGTTCAAACTCAGAAGACAAGTTCTCGCTGTTCTGGCTGCCTTGGATCGCAGCTCTGAGCCGTGAGGTCTTGTGGAGCTGAAATGACCCACTCTTTGGTTTGCGCAGACACAGTGAGCAGGTGAGGGCCCGGGGAGGTGGGGGCGGGCAGTGGCAGTGCCCTCCTCGTCTTGGGGTTTGAGCTGTCTGTGGACAGAGCTTGGGGTTTGCAGAGCCGGTGCTGGGTTCAGTCCCTCTCCTCCCGGTGATTCTGGTGCCTCCAGGGTGAGTTCGGTGCTGAATCGCAACTCGCGGCAGTTTGGAAAGAAGCACCTGTTCGACCAGAACGAGGAGACGTGCTGGAACTCGGACCAGGTGAGGAACATCCCTGGACCCTCTACCCATCGTATGAATCAGATTCAGGGGTCCAGGGTGCCTTAAGAACTACAGAGCACCACAGCTGAGCTCAGTCGGGTTGGTCAGGAGGGACCATGTGATGAATCCTCCCACCACCAATCGACTATTTGAAAGATTGCATAGTACTGCCTTCATCCTAGAGTGACCAGGGGACTGTTTCTCTGTCTGCTTCCAGGGCCCCTCCCAGTGGGTGATACTAGAGTTTCCACAGCGCATCCGTGTCTCCCAGGTGCAGATCCAGTTCCAGGGGGGCTTTTCCAGTCGCCGGGGCTGCGTGGAAGGTACTGGAAGGCCCTGGTAGGGGGGTAGAGGAGGGTGGAGGGGGCAACAAGGCTTCACAGTCTGCTCCTTTCTCTGCTGCAGGTTCTCTGGAGAGTGAGGCTCTCAGTAAGATTGTGGACTTCTACCCTGAGGACAACAACTCAATTCAGATATCCTGCCCTGGCCTCTGGAGTGGGGGTGGTCTATGTCTCTGAAAGCTGAGGGCCTTGCATATGACCTTGAGCAAGTGGCCTCTAGGCCTGCATTACTTTATCTGTGAAGTGAGCTGATGGTAACCTGCTCTGTGAGTCGCAGAGGGGCCCAAAGCTTGGTGTCTGAGCTGGGACTGCGTGGGGCTTGGCACACAGTCTAACAACAAACCACCTGTTTCCCTTGACTGCTGTGCTCACACCTTCCCTGTGCCAGCTGCTGAGGTGGACCAGCTAAAGGTAACATTTGAGGACACCACTGACTTTTTCGGCCGTGTGGTCATCTACCACCTGCGAGTGCTGGGGGAGAAGATATGAGGCCACGGGGCAGCCGCCCCCTCCAGGAAACCCTCATGGAAGCACAGCCAAGTCTTTCAAGTTCTGCACAGGTTTATTGATTTCTCCTGGCAAGGACCCTCTCCCACCATCTGTCCAGGAGCTGCCTTTGAAGCCAGTTTTGGGTTCCCCCAACTCTGGGTCAACCATCTTGTTCCCTGAGTGTCTGAGTCCCTGGGGGACAGGTGACGGTCTTCACTCGGGGTCGTCGGGCACCAGATTACTTTGGAAGAGTCTGAGGATGTGGTTCTCAATCACTTGTTGCACTGGAAACAGGACAAGGAAAAGGAGGACTATGAATGGAATTGGGACTGCAGAGGCACTAGACCCACCTGCATCCTCCCTTCATGGGTTGAGCTGGGGGATCCTGCCCTAAGAACTGCACCCTCCCCTGAGGCCTCTCTGCATTGGGACATGGATGGAGAGCCCACTTCATATATGGGTAAATCCACACCCCTCCCAGGACACAGCCAGGAAAATGGAGGCCCCTATTCCAGGAACCTCAATTTCCCCCAAGTTTATAAAAATGTGTTTGGGAAGCATTTCCGAGTTATTGGTGAATTGTGATATTTACAAAAGGACAAGAAGGGCTATGAGGACTGATGTCCCAAACAGAGGAGGACTCCTTGAAGCAAGGAGGGGATATTTCCCAAGACCTCAATTCCCCCCACAACCCCAGGGGATTGGTTCTGTTACAGTCACCCTGTTTCATGGGTGGTGAAGTGAAGGCAGAAGTAAGGAATCAAACTGGGATCTGTTTACACCCACCTCCTACCTCAGAGGGTGGCCTCAAGGTCCTGTGTATTGTGGCCAGGCCCCCTTCCTCTGGGTGCCCTCACCCGGCCAGGCCTCTGCATATGCTGTCGCTCCAGCCTGGACCATCCTTCCCTGGGGTCCTCGGGAAGCCCTCCCTGATTACCATCCATCCTGAGGTGGGGCCAGGGTCTCCTTTGGGCCTCTCAATGCCTGAGTGTCCCCCATCATGACCCCAGTCACTGACATACATTGGCCTCCACCCCCAGCTCATGGGTAGCCCTCTGAGAACCAGGCCTAGCACATACCCAGGCCATATACACAGGGGCACTCAATGTTTGCTAACAGGAACTCCTGTTGCCAGCATCTGACATCCAAGAGGGATGCCCTGTGTATTCTGTGGCATCCCACCCACAGCAAGCTGTCACTACCATGTGTCTCAGGCTGACCTTTCCGGTATCCCAGAGCCACGGCGAGGTCCATAGGGGTGTAGCCAGAGTCAGCCTCAGTGGTGAGATCAGCTCCTCGAGCTACAAAGCAGGGCAGGTTCTGCAAGGGGGGACTGGAAGCCCAGAATGGGGCACAGACTCTGGAGATCCAGTGACCACCAATAATGCAGCCCCAGGTCTATCAGTTGCCCATGTGGCCTTGGACAAGAGTCTTGAGTTCTGAGAATGTGGTCAACAGAACCCCCACCTCCAAGGTCCCCGAGGCCAGACCCCTCAGGATTCCTGCAGTGCCAGCTACGGCTCTGGGCCACCAGGGCCAGCCTCTAATCCCACTCACCCAGCAAGGCTTCTACACACTTCACGTGGTTCCCACGCACGGCATACAGCAGTGGCGTCCCTCCATTCTGTCAGGGGCAGGAGCAATCATCACTATACTGGATTCTCGTATCATCCAGCACACTCCAATTTAATGTGGTTCCTTTTGTTTGTCACCTGGCCCATCTAGCTCCTCCTTTGGGACTTGGCTTAGATGTTCCTCTTCCAGGTAGCCCTCCCTGACCTCCCTTGGTTGTACAGGCTGTCTATGCGCCTGCCATCACAGCTACATCTCAGCTGACTGTTTATGTATTGGCTTCTCACTACCCCCTAAAAAAACTAAGAGCTCTGTGAAGCTTGGGAATGGCCTGCCTTGTGTTCTTATCACCCAGAGCAGGCCTGGCACCCTGCAAGGAACCCAAAGCTGGCAGGTGGTGCCTCACCCAGTCGTAGATGTTGATGTCCACATCACGCTCAAGCAGCAGCCCCACAATGTCTGTGTAGCCACCTGTGCTGGCCAGTGACAGGGCACTTTCCCGCTCCTTGGCCAGGATGTGGGGGTTGGCACCCTGGGGGAAGCAGAGGTGGCAGTGACAGGAGGGGGCATAGAAGGAGTGGTGATGGGAGGAGTAGGGGAATCCCCTGACATCCTGAGGTCCCCATAGCAGCTGAGACTTGGCCCGCCCTCAAGTCCCTGGAAGCCCCCAGCTGGACAGGGACGCACCCACTCAAGCAAGAAGCGGACGGTCTCGATTTCTCCAAAGGCAGAGGCCCAGATGAGGGGGGTGAAGCCACGCTCGTCCGGTTTGTTGATGAGGTTGTCGCCTGGCAGGAAGGGTTGGTACCACTGGGCTGCACCCCTGCCCACTATCCCCAAAGCTGTGGGAGTGGGGATCATGTGGGCAAGCTAGGGCCAGATGGGGGGGGACACATGTGGATACACACAAGTGGCTGCACTTGTACACATGTGTAGACAAAGACATATGCACACTCACAGGTCACGACAGCACCCACATGCACACACCAGCACATGAGGTCAGACAAGGACGGATACCAGTGCATGGATGTGGACACATACCTTTCCTCAGATGCTCCTTCAGCTGGCTCAGCTCTCCCTGGGCTGCGAGCTGGTGGATGGACAGGGCTGGGGCCAGAGAGAGGCAGTGTTCTCACCTGTCCCATCCCTGCTCTGTGCCTTAGTTTACTTCATGTGCCAAGATGCTTCTCTCTGCCCAGCCACCCTGCTACCCCACACCCTGTTGGAGACAGGGCCACTCACAGTCCAGGGTGGCCGGCAGGGCTGAGATCTCATTTCCCCGCTGCCGGTTGGTGAGGGTTGTGGAGTGCTTCAGGGAGCTGCCTGGTGGGAGACAGAGGAAGGGTTCTGGGTCTCCAAGACAGACCATGCTACCAAAGACACAGTGCGACTCCCCTATCACTCTACAGTGATGCTACTGGAGCTGAGCCCTGAGAAGCTGGAAGCTGCAGGACCCACTGCCCAATCTGGGCATGTCCGCATAGACTTTAACAGGTCATTTGAAAACCTGAAGAATTTGAAGACTCTTGCTCCTCAGAAAAACGCAACTCTCAGAGTACCCTGAGTAGGTGCTTGGGCTCTGCCTGTCACCAAAGATGTTAAATAAGTTATGGGGCAAGGCCATCAGGTCTCCTGAGATACTGGCAGCTTTGGGGTCCTGCTGCTTGTGTGGATACCCCAGGTTCCTGAGGAGTAGCCCAGGTGAAGTTCCCTTTTGGGGTGATGGGAATGTCCTAAAATTATAAACAGGCTGGGGTTACACACTACTGTGAATGTACTTACTGCCACAGAATTGTATGCAATTATGGTCAAAATGGTAACTTTTATGTTAGTGGATTTTACCACAATAAAAACAAATAAGCAATCCTTCACTAGGTGGAGCTGGAAGATATATATGTCCTAGGTGCTGGAAGATAAAGACAAAAGCCCACATCCGGGACCTGACATTCCACAGTCTTTGAGTCTCAGAGGCTGGAGCCCAGGGCAAGTACCTACCCTGAGGTGATGAGGCACCAGCATCTGGTTCAGGATTCCCAGGCTCTGGGGTGCAGGGAAAGAGACTGAGCACCACTGTGTCTGAGCCATCTGGGGCCTCATCGATGGGATCTTCAGGGTCCCCAAATTCTAGGATGGGGGGCTGCTGAGTCAGGCTGAGGTCCTCTGCAGGCTGAGAGGACTCCATGGGGGAATCTGGAGGCAACAAAAGGGGAGAGATGACAATAATTATCAAAACTCTTGTTAAGTGGGCACCAACTGCTTAATCAGCCTAGCACAGTGAGGGTGGGTAAACTCAAGCTCCTCCAGGAAATTAAATCAGAGTCCAGTTGCTTTGCAGGCCCACTCCACCCCACCACGAAGACACATAGGACAGGCACTGCTTAAAAGCCTTGGTTCTGGGGTCACTATCTGGGATGGAATCCTTGCACTTACAGGCTGTAAGAACTTGGGCACATGCCTTAACTACTCTGAACCTGTTTCCTCATTAATAAAATGGGGAAATAAGGTCTAAAAGAAGTCATGTCTGTACATAGCTGGGCAGGGGGCCTGAAACACCGCAGAGCTTAACAAACGTTTGTTGTAGTTACTTTTTGGAGAGTGGTCCCCATAATGATTGAGGGCTCAACAAAGATGTAATTGGTTCCATCCCACCCGCCCCTCCCAAGGAGATCCAGGAGGTCCACTCACCTCCAAAGAGCTTTCTCTCACCCCTCGCCGCAAACTCGGGCCCCCCAAAACTTGGAGGCCTAATTCACAAACTTTTCTCCTCCAACTGAGGCACTGAGGAGCAAGCTGGAGCCTGAACCCTGGGCGCCCAGGTTTTTCTACCGGGACAGAAAGCAACTTGATACGCGACCACTACCTCCCACCCCAGAGCTTCCCCACTGCGCCTGCGCACCCCGCCCCCCAAAAGTGCGGAAGGGCAAAAGCAGTAGAAGCTGCTTCTGGCCCTTTAAGAGTTGGGGGAGGGGCATGCTTTCCGCTGGGGACCGAGTATTGCAATAGCGCTTGCGCGTTTTACACCCTGACCCTCCGGTAGGGGGCCAACTGGTGAAGGGGAATTGGGCGGAGCATCAGAAGGCTCTGAGGATCTCAATGCGGCTGTATTCCATCACCGTCCCCAGCTCCGTCCACAGTTTTTTGGGAGCCAATCGGCTCCAGTACCGGGCTGACGAGACAGCCCTTTCGTCAGTGGGAAGGCAGGGGCAAGGAACCGGGCGGGGCATCCGGAACTTAAAGGGGCAACACCACTGTCGTCCAAGTCCCGAACAATGTTCCTTCTGAGGTGCTAGGGGCTCACGAGCATGTGCAGGGATTTGATAGCAGCAGTGGGGTACAAAGAGGCCGTTTATACGGCCCAAAGTGAGTGGTGTGTGGAGCATTCTCCTAAGCCATCCTCCCCTGGAAAAGGGGGTTTCAGGAAAGGAGGACGCCCTGGCCCCTCCCCGCTTTGGTGTAGATTCAGGGGGGTCCTTGCTCCCTCCTCACCTACCTACCTGTGTGCCCCCTTCTCCAGTTTCTCACTCACGGCCCCTCTCCTGTTTAAGTACAGAGAGGAAAGGCTAGTTGGTACTGGAGTTGTGGCAGGGCCAAGTCGCGTTTTGCAGGGGAACGTTTAGGCAGCTGTCACCACCTCCAGACTTCCGGTTCCGGTTCTCAGGTTTCAGGAGCGGTTGTAGCTATGGAGGAACCCGAGATGCAGCTCAAGGGAAAGAAAGGTGATGCGAGGTCCAGGGCTGGACAAAGGACCCGGGAACTCGCGGAGGGGTGATAGAGGGACGGAGGGAAAGGACAAAGGGAGGGAATGAACGTGAGGGGCAGAGATTGAACTGCTATCGAATCCTGGCGGCCGCTGACTAGTTTTGGAACCTTTAGAAAGTCCCTGTATCTTACTTTTGTCATCTGTAAAATGGGGAGTATAGTCTCCCTCCCTCCCCTCATAGGTTTGTGAGAACTCAATGACCTGATATTTGTACTGCATTGGAAGAAAGCTTGGGATATGGCAATCGCTGTGCGTATTGTTGCCATATAGACTTGTGCATTTGGTATGTTTACATTGACTCAAATATTTATAAAACACATAGTTACAAATTACAAAATGCCACAAACTTTTTAAATTATTAAGTTTTTTGTTATTTAATTGCACATGTTATTTCTAGTTAATTAGTTAGAAGGTACAAGTACATTTAATTCCACCTCTTTTGTAACAACACTGAGCTCATTTGTGAAACAAGGAGGCCTAAGAGGGTAAAAGGTTCTATAATCTATACAGTTTGTTAGATTGTATTTACTTTTTTAGAGAGAAAAGAAGGGAGAAAGAGAGGAAGCGGAAACATCACTATGTGAGAGATACATTGCTTGGTTGCCTCTCACACTCCCCCAACTGGGGAACCTGGCCAACAACCCAGGCATGTGCCCTGGCTGGGAATCAAACCTGTGACCTTTTGGTTTGTAGGCTGATGCTCAATTCACTAAGCCACACCAGCCAGGGCTATAATCTATACAGTTTGAAGGGAGAAGGCGGGCCCAGTGAGCTGTATTCACACTGGATAGACTCATGCACAACCTCCTTGACTCCCAGACACACCAGGGTTTTCTGTCTTGCAACCACATTGCCCTGGGCAGTAGCACAGATTCCATCTCTGTAACAAACCTCAAGGGGGGTACTGTTTTCATGGCATTTTTACAAATGAAGAAACTGAGGCCCAGAGAAACCCCTACCCTCACAAATCCATGCTTTAATTATTTCCTGTAAACACATAACCTAGTAAAGAACAGAATTCACATATAAAAGAAATGAACAAGGTTGTTGTTGAGAATGAGGGACATCTGATTAAGCTTGGTGACCAGGGGAGGCTTTGCCCAGGAGGTGACATTTCAGCTAAGATAGGAGGAATGAAGACTTAAGACAGAGGGAAGAAGGGTGTGTCAGTGGCAGGAATAACAGATTCAAAGGCCCTATGGTGGCAAAGTGCTCAGAGCCGTGCTTTAATATAGTAGCTACTGGTCACAGTGTTTATGGGTGCTTAATTAATGTTAGGTAAAGTTAAAAATTTAGTTTCTGAGTCACATTGGTGGCATTTCAAGTGCCCAGTAGCCACCTGTAGCTCGTGACTACCATATTGGACAGTATGGACCATAGAACCGTTCAGTCATCAGAGAAAGTTCTTGTGGACAGTGCTGGGAGGGTCCAAGTAACAGCCAGGAGGCCATTGTGTCTGGATGAAAGACAAAGAGGATATGGAGGTCCACAGTAGGCAGAACACGCAGGACCTTAGGGGGCCATGGTGAGCAAGGCAGATTTTGTTCTCTGGCTGATGGGAGCCATGGGAGAATCCCAAGCAAGGGAAGGACATATCTGATGTGTTCATTAGTTCACTCCATCTGTTGTGTGGAGATGGGACTGCTGGCAGTGGGGGAAGCAGGAAGAGCAGGAGGGGCTGAGTCTGGCGTCCAGGTGGGAGGCAGCCATACCTGGACCAGTGGAGTCAGTGCAGTGCTAAGAATGGGTGAAGCTGGGCTTTGTTTTGTGGCAGAACCAGAAGGATCTCCCTATGGACAGCATGGATGACCAGCTAGTTAGGAATGTAGACCCTGGGGTGACGATTTGGGTGTAATTAACTTACCGAGAGAGCCCCACAAGAGAGAAAGGGAAATAGGACAGGGCTGGGGAGGAGGCAGAGCAAGGAGCAACCTCAGGTAAAATCCTTCAGAGCGAGGCCTCAGCCTGCTTTGGCAAGGGAGTTTAGGGAGATGAGTCACTCCTCTCGATTGTCCCAACAGAGCAGGGGGCATGGACTTTCATGTCCCTCAATGGTCAATCATGGCTGAGGGCTACCCAGAGATATAAACTTGCAGGCACTTTTAGATCCAATAACCAGTAGATTCTTCGAGGAGAAATCTCAGATTTATTCACTGGGTTAAAAAGAATTCGAGGGGATGCGAGTGGGCAGCAGCAGTGTACACCACCAGTGGGCTGGGGAGAGGAAAGACCACAAGTTCACCGGATGCATTGACAATACCATGAGCAAGGCCTCTGTGACCATCTTCAACCTATCACCTGGGCCACAGGTGACCCACCTGCTGGGGGTGGGGGAACACCAGACACTCTTCACCACTCTGGCTGGACTTATAGATTGAGCAATCAGGAGTCTTATGCTTTGTCTCTGTATCTGTGCACCCCTTTCCCTTATTCTACCGCCTTCCACACTCTGACTGTCAATCCTGGACCCAGTTACAGACAAGTTCACTGAGAGCGTCTACGTCCTGGCCAATGAGCCGTCTGTGGCCTTGTACCGGCTACAGGAGCATGTGCGCCGCTCTCTGCCAGAGCTGGCCCAGCATAAGGTGAGCTGCATGCACCCCTGCCACCAACTCCCACAGGGTCTGCACTTGGGGTAACAGTCCAGGCTGGGCCACCAACAAGGAGGCATGTGGTCACTGGGCAGGTTGGGACCATGGGTAGATAGATCTGGGACAGATTTGGAAGAAGGGGCAGCTGGCCTACATTAGTTGTGACCTGTATGATGAGAAGGAGGCAGTTGTATGAAGACTAGAGGGAAGAGCATGACAGGCAGAGGGAACAGTAGATGCAAAGGCCCCAGGACATAATAGCTGTTCACAGAAAGTCTGGACTCATGAGGGAAGGGAAGGGACTGGAGGGGGCCAGTCTCTGCAGCCATAGTGATCAGGTGCTCAGTCCTAGAGAGTTGGGAAGATATACGTGGCAGCCTCTCCCCCTAACAGTCCCCTACCTCCCACAGGCCGACATGCAGCGATGGGAGGAGCAGAGCCAGGGAGCCATCTATACAGTGGAGTACGCCTGCAGGTGAGCACCTAAGGTTGCCTCCTGGGCATTCAGCAGCATCTCAGCTAGCTCCCTGGTGAGCCTTGTCCTGCCGACCCTGAGTGGGGAGGCATGTGGATCTCAACTCACCTGGCCACACAGCAGATTCCAGCCTAGGCCTGCACTTCTCACTGTGCTCAACCTCTGTGCACCTCTGGCAAGTGTCTTCTCAGTGCAGACCTCCTTCCCATCTGTCATGGGAGGGTGTAATAAGGGTTGGGAAACATAAAATTTATCATCTTAACCACTTTTAAATGTATAGTTCAGTGGCATTAAGTACATTCACAATGTTGCACAACTACCACCACCATCCATCTCCAGAACTTTCCATCTTGCATAATTGAGACTCTGTCTCCATTAAACACTAAGTTCTCACACCTGCTCCCCTATCCCCTGGCACTCACCATTCTACTTCCTGTTTCTATAATTTGACTACTCTTAGGCCTCACATGAATGGAATCACACAGTATTTGTCTTTTTGTGTCTGTCTTCTTTCATTACGAATAATGTGAAGGTTCATCCATGTTGTAGTATGTGTTGAAATTTTCTTCCTTTTTAAGGCTGAGCAAAATTCCACATTTTGTTTATCCATTCATTTGTCAGTGGGCATTTGTGTAGCTTCCACATTTTAGCTTTTGTGAATAATACTGCTGTGGGTGTACCATTTTTGTTTGTTTGTTTAATTTTCTGTAAATCTTCAGATTGGTTGTTTGCCCCAAGGGGAAAGATGCTTGAGGGTGGAAAGCAGTAGCTGGTGTTTCTTTGCTTCGTGGCAGCTTTGCCAGCCTTGTCTCCTGTGCTTTTGTTGGTTCCCTCATTGGTATTCAATGCCCTGGCTGGTCCATTTGCCTCAAGATTTTGGCCACTATATTTAGAGGTGCCATTTGCCCCTGGCATGACCTATGAGTCATTTGGTGGAGGCTGGACACTCCCAGCACTTCTCATCTGTGGCACTGTGGGGTTTGCTTGCCTGTTTCTGTCGTGTGGGTGAAGGTTCCTTGACAGGAAGTCCTGCTGCCAGGGCCACTGAGCTGAATGTTCTGCCATCAGCAGGCAGCCCCTCAATGGGACAGGAGAGGATTTGGACAGATGGCGTCTTCCTGAGGATGGTGGTTACAAGCACTCTCCTCAGCTCAAGGAAGAGTAGGGAAATAAAAATGTTCTCTCTCAGGGCTGCTGAACAGCTCTGGGACAGCTGTGACCTTGTCAACAAGGTCCATGCTAAAGAAAGAGTGTGTCAAAGTCTCTACTTTCTCCTGGTCCCTCTAGCTGTACCATCTAACTGAGGAGCAGGGGCCACTAGGGCTGCACATTTAAATGCACATATGCACTAAAATGAAATAAAAAGAAAGATTCCGCTGCTCAGTCTCTCTAGCCACATTTCAAGTGCTGAGCAGCTCTCTCAGTAGATAGAGAAAGTATCTCTCAAATTACAGAAAGTTCCACTGGCCCATGTTGGACAAGGCAGGAGGCCAGTGTGCCCTGAGCTGTGGGTGCTTCTCTTCAGTGAGATGTGAGTTTCTTCAGTGCTAAAAGAACATATTTCCAACAACAAAAGCCCTTGGCTTTTAGTTGTTTGAAATGCTTTATGCAGTGTTAACAGTTTGTGTAAAATTGAAAGATGTTAAATTGAGGTAAAGTATTCAGTAGTGAGCTTATATTAGTGAGTTTTTTAATCAAGTTGGGCAACTGAATGCTAGAAAACTTGACTGCACTTGGTGGCCTAAGATGAATAAGCTAACAGAGTGGGTGACAGCAAACACCCCTCCCCTTGATCTCATTGCCATTTTCAAGCAGATCCCTCCCTGATAATAAATAGAAGTGATTTTTCTTCTTTAGGAGAAGGACTTTAAAACAACACTTTTACTTTTATTGGAGATGGTGTTACACGGGTGACTTCCTGGCATTAGCAAGGCCCCGTAGGGCTTGGTAAATGTGCCTGTAGTGCCATACAAAGGGACATTCACTAGACCGTCATCAGTGTGGTGCCGCCCCGTGGGCTGAGCGCAGCTTTGCAGCAGTGCCCCCTAATGGTGATGAGTTATCCTGCTTCTGTCTAACTCACTTCCAGAGCTGTTGGGTCGAGTTGATAAGCTTCCTTCAGAGGCAGGAATAGATTATCTAAGAGGAAAGCAAGGTATTTATTTTTGAGGCCATCTTTACATGCTTATAGTTCCTTCAGAACATTGGATGGCCTTGCAGCAGGGATTGTCACCCAATGTCCTCTAGGCTTGTCACATAATGTCCTCTAGGCTTGACGGGAAAATCTAAACTTTGAGTTCATGATGACCCCTCAGGGAAGCCCACGGAATCCCCCAGGTACCTGCTGAGCTCCACTTGGTGAGTGAGGCAGGTGGTGTCTACTGGGTATGCCTTCCCATTATAGTGCCGTGAAGAACCTCGTCGACAGCAGCGTCTACTTCCGCAGTGTGGAGGGTCTCCTGAAACAGGCCATCAACATCCGGGACCACATGAATGCCACCGCCCAGGGCCACAGGTAGCTCTCGGGACCACAAGCCCCTGCTGCTGTCACCCTCCTCTCTGTAAGGTCCTTCGCCACTCAGCCAGGATCTGCTGCTTATTGCTCCTTGGACAGCTCCTTTTCCTCATCTCATGGTGTCTAGTGGCTTCCTCTTGTCCTTTGGTGCCTGCGACAGAAGGGGTCAGTCACTCAGTATCCAGATCCTGAGCTCTGCTATATGCCTGGTCCTGGGCTGGGTGCTGGGAACAGAGAGGTGACTGGGACAGGCACATTTGTGGTCTCACAGGGAGACGCACAGCAACCAGATATACATGGAACAGACCCAGAGCTTTTCAGACATGTCCAAAGGAAAACACAGAATATGGGGCTTCTCTAATGTGTCGGAGGGGTTGCGAGCAGAAGCCTGTAAGACTTGATGATGGAAAGACTCGGGATGATATTCCAAGTGGGACAGTGGTGAGGACAAAGGCCCTGGGGCTGGGGAGCTAGGGGACAGGTGTGCCTGCAGTGGCTGAGCAGGGGAGATGGGGTCAGGGAGGTGGGCAGCAGGGGATGCTCCCAGAGCCAGAGGAGGCTTTGAGCTGAAGACCACGTGGTATAAAAATGAAAGCACTTACAGTCCTTGCACACTGGGAAGAGTTTTCGGGGAAAGAGTGCTTTTTGCTTTTGTTTTCATTATAACTTAATAAATATGCATTTGAACATGAACATACATTCTGTAACTCTACCTTGGCATGTATCTGGTGCCTGCAGCTTGGGGGTCTGGCCTGCCTGTCCTCCACAGGGTATTTAGAAAGAAGACAACCTCTGTGTTGTTCTGTATGAGAACTAAGACAGGAGAATTATCAAAAACAAAAGCCTTGCCCTGACTGGTGTGCCTCAGTGGGATGGGCATTGTCTTGCAAATCAAAAGGTTATGGATTCCATTCCCCATCAGGGCATATGCTTGAGTTGTAGGCCAGGTTCTGGTTGGGGGCATTGCAAGATTGATCCATGTTTCTCTCGCATATGGATGTTTCTCTCCCTCTCTTCCACCTTTCCTGCTTTCTAAAAATAAATAAGTAAAATCTTTTCTTTTTTAAGCCTTGAGAATTTATAAAAATGTATGTGCAACAGTTTCCCCTCTGAGGGTTGTGTGCAAGGGTTTGTCTGGATTCATTTGCATTAACGACTAGCTTTGGCTTCTGTGTCGCGGGTTTGGTGACAGCATCACTAGAGTTGACTCCACAAAGTGCCTCGAACAGTGCCCTGCTTATAGCAGAGCCTCAAAAAAGCAATAGCTTTTTGCTTTGAACTCATGGTTTCCCAAGTGCTTTCAAATGCCCTGCTTTTGCCTTCTGTTTTGAAAATGCCAAGTGCTTCTGAAAGCCTGGAGGCACTGCTAGCACCTCTCTTTGCCAGCCCTGTGGGCTTGAAGTGCAGACATGCATGAGCCCCAAGCGTGACCTCTGAAGCTGGTGGCTGGTCCCATCTTTACAGAGGATGCCCTGTAGGTTCAGGCCGGGGTCTTAGGAGGGTGACCTGAACACATACTCCAGCCTAGTTAACTAGACCTGATGGCCTCTGACCTCAGCTTCATAGCCTCTGACTTTGGCCTCATGGCTATTGCCCATGTTTTATTTCAGCCCCCAGGAGTTGCCCCTGCCCTCCTCAGCCTGATCCCAGAAGAGACTCTGAGGGCTTTGGCCCCTCCAACCAGGTCAGTGCTGAATAAAGCAGGGGCCTTTCTGTCCTCCACGCTCTGAACTAACCCACCCTTTAATTGTCCAAGAAGAGACATGCCATCTAATCCTCAGGCTTGAAGGATGGTTTGGTCAGTGGGAGGATGCAGGGTGTGGGGGACCTTGTACCCTTTGCCGCTTAGGGTGACTGTCAGCCTATCTCCCTCATGCTCTCTGCCATTTCCCCTTATTCAGGCCATAGGCCTTATCCCAATCCTAAGGACTCCTCCAGGGCAGAAAAGGCATCCCACATTTCCCTGCCCTGCCATATGCCAGCTGCTGGCTTTACTTACACACCTTCTCTCAGGCAGAACCCAGCATGGCGGTTACCACCCAGCTCTGATCTCTTCACTCCACTGCTGACCTGCTGTGTGACCCTGAGCAAGTTCTTCCCCTCTCTCTGCTTTTCTCTTCTGTGAAAGTGACTCAGATGGCAGAGAGGGCACTGCTGCATATGATGATGTGTAGTGTAGCAGTCAGCTGCTGCATGACAAACTAGCCCAAAATTTAGTGGCTTACAGTACCAATCTAATTGTTTGTGATTCTGTGATTGGGGCTGGGCTCAGCTGGGGGCCAATCATGTGGCAGTCAGAGCTCTGTGGGGCCAATAGTCAGAGGTGGCCTCACATATCTGACCCTTGACTGGTACCATTGGCTGCAGGGGATCCAATTCTCAACCTCCATGTGGCCACTCCAGCAGGCCAGCCTGGGCTTCTGGTGGCTGGGCACCAGGAGAGCAGCCCCAGTCCACACAGGCTCTTCCAGTCTCTACTTGCTTCACATTTGCAGATGTTGCATTGGCCACAGCTAGCCATATGGCCAGGCTCAGAACCCGATGATAGAGAACTGCAGGAGGGCACCACTACTGGGAGGTGTGGTTGACCATGTGAGGAGAGTGTGGCCTCAAGACAGGAGTGGTATATTGTTAATTTGTGCCCATGCAGGACAGACCCCGGCCAATCAGAGGTACCTGAGGTAGTTACTGAGCCCCTGGCTTGTAAGCTCTCAGAGCCTCTGCTCATCTGCTGTGATAGTATTCTGTACCATGGGGGCCCTCTCTGAGGGTTGTGGATGCATGGACAGGGACCCTGTGGCCCCTAGAGCAGCAGCCCTCAGAGCCAAGAGGGAGCAGAGTTTACACACATGCAGTCAAAGCACCAGCCAAGTGGCAGGCCTAGCTCTGGGCTTGGGGGTGGCGAGCAATCCCACAGACTGTGGGTGGGATCGCTGGAAGGATATCTGGGAGGGGCTGCTGAGGCATCTCCGAGTCCCATCCCCTGAGCCTTGGTCCCTCCCACCCTTATACCTCAAGGATACTGCCCTGCTGCACTCCCTACGCCCTCAGTAGTCTGCTGTCCCTCTGCTGCTGTACCCCTGCTGAGTAAAACATTCGGTGCTCCTCCTGATCCCACCTTTGTCCCTACAGACACTGTTCTGCTCTTCCCCAGAATTGCCACCCAAATTCCCCTCTTAGAGCCTCCATTCCCACTACCCCCCGCCCCTGACTAAGCTGCTCCCCCTGATGTTGGTGGTGACTTTCAAGGGATGAAGGCTTGGCCTCCCCCAGCCTCTTTCTTCACTTGCCTCTCCCAGGGTCCTACATACAGCTCTGAATTTTACAGAAGAGGAAACAGAGGCTCAGATGGGCAAGGCAGGGTCACCACTGATGACTGAAAGTGCAGTCACACCAAGACCTCCAGTGTCCTGGGGCTTCTCCTCTTCCCTTGCCCCTATCAGGCCCCTGCCTCAGGTATCACCTCACTGGGGTCATCCTGAAGCCCCAGGGGCCTTTCAGACCTCCTTGTCCTGACCCTTGTCCTGCCTCCCCAAGCCAGACCAGAGTTGGACCCTTGGACACAACCTTGTGAGACCTATCAGGGTCCAAAGACTGAGCAAGTGTGGCCAGCACAGTCCTCTCACTCCTGCCCCTAGCTTCCTGAGACAAGGTATTGTTGTCCTTGGACTCCTACCCCACATTAGCCACGTCCCTTCGGACCAATAACTGTCACTGTGTTAATCCCCCTTGACCACGCTGTGTTTGTGGCTTTGCCACAGTCTTCTTTCATCTTTAAACAGCCCAATAAGGTGGGTATCACCCTTAAATACAGATGGGAAAAGAGAGGCTCCAAGAGGTGGTGTGACTTATACAAGGTCACACAGCTAGAGGAAGCAACCCCCTCCCTGATTTGGTCCCAGTCTGCCTCTGACATGCTGTGTGACATGGGGCCTAGAACTGGCCCTCGCTGGTCCTCCATTTCTCCATATGGACAAGGAAGGCTGGACTGGACCTTCTCTGCAGGTTGAGGTGGACATTCACATACATGCCTGTCTGGCCTCCATTCTGCCTCAAGCAGAAACACCCATCCTGGGTGTAGGCCATATGGTGAAGCTACCATGGGACCCTGGATCCAGCTGTACCTGGCACTAATTCCTAAATTACTGTATTTGCCAAAATTGCTTTGAGTCTGTGTCTGCTAACTACAGAAGAGTCAACACTGCTCTCTTTGAATTCTAGGCCTGGGAAGTTATGACCCATGGTCTTTACACCCCCAAGGCCAGCTGTGTGCCAACACAGTGTTGTGCAAAATGTGTCAGGAAGATCAGAATGGAGTGGTTTGGGGTCCCAGGCCCACTGCTCTGGAAGGATCCCCCAGGATCCAGGAAGGATACTTCCCTTAGCACTGTGGGTGGTTGGGAGAGAAGGATGGCAAGGGCCAGGGAAAAGCTAGGGCAGAGACAGAGGGTTCTGGTGGGATATCAGGGCTGTGGAGGACCCTGAGGACCTAGGAGAGGGTTCAAGGACACAGGAGGTGTTAAGGAAAGAACTGCCTCCCACTACCAGGAAATGGGAGTCAGTCCTCTCCCCTCCTAGGGTGTATTGGGGGGGCCCTGTGCTGCTATTCTTCGTCTCCACTGCCCCAGCTCTGTTTGAGGTCCATCCCATTGAGGCCCTGACTGGTGTGTGGCCCCTACAGTCACCCCTCTTGACTAATCTGACAGTGCCTCACATAGTCTCTCCTTCCACCTGTCCACCATGAAGTCATTTATCCAGGACGTATTGACAGCCCTCTGTGTGCCAGGCCCTGCCTGCCCAGGGGATGCCCTGGTGAGCAAGCCAGGGCAGCCCTGGCCCCAGGGTTCAGACCTGCGGGACAGAAAGGCAGCTAAGTGAGGTAACTGCACGTATCCCAAGGGCACTGTAGGGTAGTAGGGGGCAGCTCTTGGGTACCCCAGACCTTTCGAGGGCCACCCCCCACCCACAGCTCCTGGACACAACCTTAGCCAGAGACTGACTAACAGTCATCTCAAAGAGTTCTGTGCAGGACTCTGGCCAGTCAGATCTCTCAAACCGAGTCCAAGGGCCTGCAGGGGAAGCGTGTGGGGAAAGCCTGGTAATTTGCATGATCATCCCACCCTCTAAACACTCGTAAACGCCCCGTCCTAGCTGGTCGCTAGAGGGCGCAAGAGGCAAAGGCTTGGCCGGGCACTCGGCTTCCGAAGGGTCAAGGTCAGAAGTCCTGGCTCATTGAGATGGATGCATTGTGATCCTTAGCCCTTTTTCTCCTATGTCCTCGATTCCATTTTTCAGAGAGCCAACTAAGTCTCCTTGAGGCTGGACTACTCATCAAGATCTTGCATCTGCCCCCACGCGTTCTAGACGGGCTGGAGGTCTCCCTCCTCAGAGGGTAAGACGTTCCTGCTCATTAGGACTTGCTCTCAACAGAGCCCCAGAGATAAGGAGGGCGGCTGGGAAAGAAGCAGTGAGCTCCCCGTGCCTCGCTCGGGCAGGAGTCTAGCACACATGAGTGTGAGAGGGATCTAGAAGGGATCCCAGCCCTGGTGAAGTGTGGCTTCTCCACCCACTCCCACTCTTGCTCCACCCAAGTCTTCAGATCTGTGGATAGGGTAAAAGGAGGCCCAGGAGGGCAGCAATGCCCCAGCTTGGGCCGCAGTGGTCAAGGTGGACCTCGGACTTGAGTTTGGCTTTTTGTCCTTATCCCCTAGTCCAAGTCATGGTTTTATTTCAGTTCTGCTCTGAGGGTCCTGCCCTGGTACATCCCTTCCTAGCTCTGCCATATCCCTCAAGTGAGACCTCTGCATGCTCCAAACTTGGTCCCAGTGCTCCTCCACCACTCATACCCTCTCTCAGGCTCTCCTGTTCTGCAAGAAACCCATGGAGATGCCCCTTTGGTGCTGCCACACACTGGGCCTGGCCCCAAGGAACCCTCAGGCTGGAGGAAACAGCTGCACACAGACATCCCAAACCACTGGGTCAGCACTGGACTGGGGATGGAAGAACCCCAAATGAGAGAGGGAGAGAGAAGGATTTTGGAGAAGGGGACATTAAAGGTGGACCTTAAAAGTGGGCATTGGAGCTGGGATGGGGACCCATGGTCCTTTAACTAAAGGCCCTACCTGCTGGACCACACTATCCTTGCCATGGAGAGTCTTTCAAAACCTTCCTCTGCTTGACATTATGGGAGAGGATCTGGAGGAAGAGGACTTGGGAGAGGTAGCTTCACCACACTACCCTCTCACCCCGGTCTCCCCCATCTTCAGATCCCTCCACCTGACCTCCTTCACCCATTTCTCCTCACAACCCTCCCCTCCACCCTCCAACATCTTACTCCAGTAACTAAGGTGCCTCCTCATCTGAGAAGACTGAGGTTGAATATCTTGACTCCCAGTGGTGGACAGGGGTCCACAAAGAGTGACACAGCCAATGGTGGAGAGAGTACAGGAGAAGAGCATAGGATAGGAACAGCGGCAAGGGAAAAAGGAGGGACCATTATAGGAAACAGGATGTGAATGATAGAAGATGGAATGGGGGTGCAGGAACAAAGGAGGGAGCCCCAGTAATGGGAGGGGGCAAGAGGTGGGTCCCACCCTTCCCACTATGCCCCTGCTGCTCCCAGAGCTGCTCCAGCTGCTGCTCTTATGTAACCAGAGCCTGCCTGTTGCATCAGAGACAGCAGGCTGCCACAGGTAAACAGAGTGGCCCTTGGGGGGCCTGGGGCTCCCCAGCCACTTCCACACTCCCCAAGCCTTGTTCTGAACCTTGGAATCAAAGCAGAAGCCCCCCAGACTGGCCTGGGCTCCAGTGTGTCCTTGGGAAACTGGAGTATCTGTCATCGGACACTGAGGTGCAGTGGTGGCAGTGGTGGGGGAGGCAGAGCCCCTGGTCCGCACCTTATGGCACAGCATGAATCCTGGGTTTATGTCCAAGGAGAAATCTGTGCCCAGCCTAGGAGTCCAAACTGCCCATGTCACAGATAGGTAAACTGAGCCGTGGGAAGGAGCACAAGCCTGTTCCCTGCCTTAGTGTCCCCCACACATATCTCCACATGCTCACTCCTGAGTACAGAAGTACAGCCATCTCCTGCTGTCTTCTCAGAAGGTGGACACCAGGCTGCCATGTAACCCACCTGCATCTGTCCAAAAATGACCACCTCCTCTCCATCTTGCAGCCTCTCCCTGGGCTCCCAGCCACATCTGTTCCTGCTCCAGCTTCATCTTCCTCATCTCTCCCACCAAAGAACCCTCTGCACTCTTCCTCTGCACCTTTGCAAAGGCTGTTCTCCCTTGGAAAACCTTTCTTCCAGTGGCAAACTCCTACTCAGCCTTCAAGACACAGTACAAATTATCCCCTTTTCTGGGAAGCCCTTCCTGACATCTCTGGCCCAGTCCTGACTCCAAGGGGCTGGAGGAGTATGTGGCAGCTGCTCTGCCTCCTCCAGACTGGGGGCTTCTATGGGATCACCGAGTCCAGCATTATCTTCACCCTGTAATTCTTTTCACATTGATTCACTCGCCTGTGACACTCCTCTGGACCTGGCTGGGCAGTTCTGGGATCCCAGGGAAGATGTGGATTTAGAGGCCTGGGCTGGGGCCCAGTCCTAGAAGCCCCCTTTGGCTGCCCTTTGAAGTGGAGGAGGGTGCCCAGCAAATCGAGGGTCTGTCATCCATCTGCAGATGGATGAGGTCACACAGATGACTCCAGAACCCCTTTCATCTGAGAGCAAGGGTCAGTGTTAGCTTTGAGAAGGGCTCTGTTACTGGAACCACCAGGGACGGATTTATATTTCACTCAGGATAGAGTAAGTCTAGTGCTGGGGCTGGCTGTGATTAAAGACAGGGTCTAAATTAGGGTCAGGATCACAGTAGGGTCAAGGGAGCCCAGTGCAGGCGGGGAAAGTCTGGCAGGTCTGTTCCAACCCCTTCCCCATCCCTTTCCCTCATTACACGCATCTCCCGGTCCTTCCCAGTCTGTCTCCTGGTTCTGAGGTGGGGCCACGCCCTAGTGCCCGCCCTCTATGCAAATGATATCATTCGGCCCAATCATCTCCAGGGGGCAGGGCCCCGGCTCTGAAGGCACCTGTGGCCGCGGAGTACCGGGCGCTCCGTGCAGCTGCTGCAGTTCCCTGCGCTCTTCCGAGGGTCCAGGCGGACAGAGCAGGTGCGTGTGGCGTCGGGACCAGGCTCGTGCGGTGTCCTTTGAATGTCATCTGTGGGCTGGGCTGCGTTTGGAGGTCTGAGTGTGCTGCTGTACATCGAAAGTTCTATGTCTAGTGGTGTGCGTCCTAGGATTGTGAGTCCAAGGAGTTGTGTGTCCAAAGGGTGTGAGTGAGTCAGAAGAGTGTGAATCCGAGGGGTGTGAGCCTGAAGGGCAGGGTATGTCGTGGGGGGGGTTGTGAGTCCTTCGGTTGTGTTTCTGAGAGGTTGTGTGTCCAAGGGGCATGTGGCTGAGGATTTCTATGTCAGCTGGAGAGGAATTGTGTGTCCAAAGTCGGGGTGCCAGACTCCCTGTCATGTGTCTGTGACCTGTGTGTCTGGTCTATGGGCTGCAGTGTCCTCCTCTCCTGAAACACCCCTTTTTGTACCCTTGAGGCTCCTGTGCACAACCCCATGCCTTCCTGCTGTGGGTGTACCCTCATGTGTCATGGCCCCAGAGCCACCTGCGGTGTGACCATCTCTGTGTGCCTGTGACTGCTATGACCCTCACCTGTGCATGGGGTCTATGCCTCATGCAACAAAAGTGGGGCCTCTGCTGGACCCACGGGGTGCCCATACAGTAGGCACAGAGCTCCGAGGTGGTGGGTCACAGCTGCCTTTAAGGGGGGGGGGCTACCACTTTCCTTGTGCCTCAGTGTCCCCATGTGGGACATGGGTATAGGAACAAGACTTACCACCTGACAAACTTGAGGCTCTTACTTTCATGGTAATGGTCCTCTTCTCTCCACCTTTCTCAGAGTCCAGGGCTGCAGATATTGGTCAGCAACTGGGGTCCCTGGTCACCCTCAGTCCCCAGCTGCAGACTTGAGAAGTCAGAATTAGCTGAGGCCTCCTGCCTAGCCTGACCAAGAAATCCTCCCTGGGGGATGTCAGGACCTGTGGCTCTTTGGCATCTGGATACAAGAACTCTTAGGCTCTTAGCGTAAAGGAACTAGGTTCCAAAAAAGTATTTAAACTCGGAAGGACTGGCGTGTCGGGTTTGAAGTCAGGCTCACCCCCTCCTGTCCCATGCCTGCCTCCTACCACCTGTCTGAGCTGAGGAGTGAATCTTGGCTTACAGGGAATGAAATTTCTGGATATTCAGGGCCCCGGGGACTCATCTAGGAGAGCTGGAAGCTGATTATCTGGTCTGAAGTCCCCACTTTGTAGGAGGAAAGACGGAGGCCAGGTACAGACTCCCGGGCACCTCAGAGAAAGGATGGAACACAAGATGGACCCCCAGACCCTGAGAGAAGAAAGCTAGGAGTGAGGGGCTCCAGCTTTCTGTGTGGCCTCAGACAGGTGGCTTCCTCTCTCTGAGCTCTGTAGCTGCCCCTGTGACCTGTCATTTAAGTTCCATCTTACCTCCCTCCCATCTCCAACTACCCAACCAGGCAGACATCTAAAAAATAGAAATTAAGAGGAAAAAGGGAATTAAAATCATTTATAACCTCAACTCAGATGCAATGAGTGTAGACATGTTGGGGGTTTGGACTTCTGGAAGATTTGAAGCACATGTACCTGGAGACAAATGTGATTTTTCAGAGAGCATTTATCATATGCCTGGGATCCCATTTGGGGTGAGAGAGCTCACTGCAGCCCAGTCGTTGAGGTATACACAGAGGTTGGGTCCCGTTTCTGAGCTCCTAAAAGTATCTCTCCGGGTGTGTATCACGGGGATTTGTGAGGCTGCCCCTTCACCCCAGGCTCAGGAACAAGTGTCTCAGACTGCAGTGGTGCCCAGGCCCTCTTCCCAGACGGGGTGGCCACAGGACAACCCTGCGGTACAGGCCCAGGCTTGAGTAGGGATCTGAGAAGTCTTGTCCCATGGCCCTGGGAAGAAGCCTGCTTCCTCCTGTGTAAAATGCAGCAGCTATCTCCGCTTCACTGGGCTGTCTATGGGTCAGGTGGGCCATGTGTATAAATGAGGTGGTGCGTGGGCCCAGGCATGAGGTGCCATCCGAACTGTGACCAAGCAGAGGTGCCTAAGAGCCCCATCCAGGTCCACCCGACCCCACCCTCCACCAGGGGCCAAGGAGGCCTCAGGTCCAATGCCTTCACTGGCCTGTTCTCCAGGCTCAGCTTCACTCACGGTCAAGGTGGGGACCTTGACAGGGAGCAATCAAGACTTGGCACAATGAACCATGGCTGTAGGAACAGGATTGTGTCGTCCACTTTCCACACCCACAGCCCTCACTCTTTCCTGATGGATGCTGTCCTGGCCTCCTGCCCACACAGGGCTCCTCCCTACTGCAGCCACTGGTTCTGCTGGAAATCCTGAATCAAACTGCAGCACTCCCCTGCTCACACACCCTTCACAGCTCCCCATTGCTCTATAGTCTGACCTCCTACCCTGATCCCCCAGGCCCCTTGCAGTCTCCATGCCCTCTTTGGTCTCCATCTGCCCCTCACTTGCCCTGTCCCAGCCACACCAGCTTCCACTGAGCCTGGAACCTGCTCAGCATGTTCCTGCTTAGGGTCTTTGCACCTACCATTCCTTCCACAAGGCAGTCTGTCCCCCACAGACCTACACGGCTGGTGTCCTGTCATCCTTGAGGTTCCCTCCTTTTCAGAAAAGCCCTCTGGCCCCTCTGTTCAACGCAGCTCCTACCAGCACCACCCACTGCCTCCCCCTGTTGAATTTCTTTCTTGAAGACCTCTGTCCCTGACACAGTTATATGTCTGTTCCTACCTCCCCCACAAGACTTGGCAATGGGGGAGGCCAGGCTGAATCTGCCCTCTCCCTACCCTTGTGTCCCCTGGCACCTGGTGGGCTCTCAGACATTTATGGGAATAGAGTGGAGACCAGGGATGTCCCAAGGCCCTGTCTTGGAGTCCCTGCTGACTGTGTCTTGAGTCTGTGGGGCTGTGGGCTGAATCCCTTCTGCCCAGCACTGACAGATGTGCTAATTTCCCAAGCAGGGAGGCCTAGGCCTCCGGGGATGAATTTCTGGGGCCCCACAGGGAGATCTTTCTCTGGAACAAAGAGAGGGAAAATTTGGGCTGTTCCTGCAGCTGCATTGCAGCTTTGGGGACCTCACTGGGGGCCTTGGGTGGCCCTGGGCTCCAATCTGCCTTGGACAACAGCATTGGGTTCTGAATGTAGAGTGTCTCTGGCCCCAGGAGTCAGGATCCCGAGTCCCTAGGGAAATTGGATTGGGCAGCAGGCCTCCATTTGCATTGTCTGTGACAGAGAAACCGGCTCAGTGTCAGGTGAGCATGTGCTAAGCTGGGCCTGTCCGTCCTTGGGACATGGTTTCTTCCGATGTGGCCGTGGGACCTTTGCAGGGTCAGTCCCTCGGCCTGAGAGGGCACGAACACCATCCAGCAGGCTGTTGTGCTGTTGGCTCTTCAGAGCAGGGATTTCAAACTGGCGGCCTATGGGCCAGATGGGAGCCTCAAATGGGTTTTGTGGGTCACAAGGTGTTTAAAAGAAAACTTCAACAGTTGCCAATGTTTCTTCCATTTGCTAAGTCAGTGTTTGCTTGTTCATTTGGGAAGGGTGACTGGGGGACTGCTGTATGCCTGGTGCGGAGGAGGCTATCCTTGCCCTCACAGAGTAGAAGTCCTCATTGGGGGGACAGTATTGTTGAAGAAAGCAACAGAGCAGCACAAAAGTATCCGTTAGGGCTAAGTGCTGCAGGGAGAGAGGGATCCTGCCTGGGGAAACTGGTGCTTCCAGAAGCAGGGGTTTCTGCCGGTCCTGGAAGGACAGCTACTCAGACCTGGGCATTCCAGGGGGAGGGCATAGCCTGGGCTTTGGGAAAGTGGAAGGGCTCTCTGGGGTTGGTGTGTCAGGTGCCCAGAAAGGGACAGAGGTTGTATGAGAATTTCTGGTACTTGAGGCCTCCCCAAGCGTAGGAACAAGGTGTAGGAGGAGCTCCTACAAGCAGGGAAACTGAGTCTTGGAGCACTTCAGGCAATGAGTGTGTGGTGGAGCCAGGATTTGAACCTTGGTCTGGCCAGGTCCACAGCTGTAGCCCTCACCTCTCAGTGCATGGCCACAGTGGGCCCTCCTGGGAGCAGGCCTGGGGAGGGGTCTATGAAGGTGGGTCCGAGGGTGCCCCAGTGGGTGTCAGTTTCCCCATGGGTGCCAGAGGGAACTAGGAACAAAGGGACCCCCCAAGGGGTCTTCTCCATCTGGAATATTCTGGGCTTCTGGAATTCAGAGCTGCATATGGGTGATACACCCTACCCTCAGACCCCCAGCTTTCTAGGGGTGCTGACTGCCTTGCCTCAGAAAGCCAGAGGGTGGGTGACACCACTGTAGGTATGAGACCCCACCTGTGTCTGGGTGCCTGCACGTAATGGGAGACCAGCTTGGCGACTGCATGTTGTTAGGGGGCCTGGTGTGTTTTGGGGTGTTTGCATGTATTTGGGGATCTATGTGCCTTTGAGAGATTGGCATGTGCTGGAGGCACGATGTCTGTGTGTCGAGGGGTCTGTGTTTGGGGGCTGTGGGTTTTTGTAGAGTGATGTGGTTTTAGGGGGTATGTATGTATTGCGGACTGCATGTTTTGGGGTATTTTGTATGCAGAATCCATATGAGTTTGGGTGACAGATGCTTCTGGGAATCTCTGTGTTTTAGGCACCTGTGGATTTCTTTTTGGGGGGCACTTGGGGCTCTGCATGTGTTTAGGGGAATCTCCCTACCTCTGCTCTGTCAGTCCATCTGAAGAATAGGCCTTCTCCCCACCCGCTGTTTCCCAGCCTTCTTCTATATGCCTGGGGCCCTCTCTCTAGGCTGAGCACCCTCACTTCCTGCTGAGGAGCAGTGATCCAAGGTCAGGGCCCAGTGACAGATGAAGAAGAAAAATAGCGTCTATAGAGCACCTACATCTGAAGCCCCCCTCAACTCAGGCACCCCGACTCCCTATTTTCCAGAAGATAAAACTGAGGCCCAGGGTATTTTGGCCACAAGAGAGGCACTGCTGGAGCCCACCTCGTCCCCAAGGGCAGATATGGGGCTCCAGGGGCTGCTGTGGGCTGAGCCAGCCCCTAGGTCACACACAGTAACCCCAATCTGAGGTGCCACCTCCCAGGCCCCAGGGAGAAGGCAGGCTCAGGTCCTAGCTGGAAGGGGGGGTCATGGGCAACTGGGGTCAGAGCCACTAGAGCCCTCAATGCGGGGGGGGGGGGAGTCCTGGCTTTCCAAGGGGCTCTTCCTGTCGCCAGTAATGAGGTACTTGGGGAGCAGGTGATGAAACCACCGCCTGAGTTGCATGAGGCAGGCCCCTGGCCTGATTCGCTGCAGCGGCCCAGGAGCAGCGCCCCCTCCCCGCTTCGCCGAGTCCCTGTGCACCCTCACCTCCCCCCACCACCCACCTGCCTCTCACTTCTCCTTTCCTACCCTCCTTTCCCGGCCTGGGTCCCCAACAAGCTGTGCAGCCTCTGGGCTCAGGGGTCTGGCAGCACTCTGTCGCTCATCCCCCCTATTAGAGTCCCACTGGGAGACCAGAAGAGGAACTTGATTCGTTCCTGATCTCTTCTCTTAAACACTCACTGCAAAGCCTTTGAGGCCATGGTTCTCAGATTTTATAGGGGAGGAAATGGGGGTTTGATGTCGCCAAGCGTGTCCTGTGCTTTTAGCCATGATCTTGCAAGATGGCATGCTGATTCAGTGTCCCCAGTCCCAAGGCACAGTCTTTATGACTTCTGAGCGGCCACAAGACAAGGTTGAGAGACATTTTCCTCCCCTCCACCCCCTTCCTCCCCAGCTGGTGGAAGGAAGAAGGGTTCTTACTCCCGTTCACAGGTGAGAAAACTGAGTCCTCCATGGAGCGAGACCAGAGGAGAGGGCCAGTGGGAAGGTGACATCCATTTCAGCCCCCATTTCCATCACCAGGGGCCTCACCAGGCCAGGAAGTGACAGTCAGCCCTGACGGACCCCAGGGATATTTGTCAATTGAATTAGTGACCACATGTCTCAACGTAGAGAGTTTATGATACTCCAGTAGCTCATGAAAATCTTCCTTCATACCCCCAGTGCTTCCCCAGCATAATGCTCAGGCCGGGGACCCTGGACTCCTCCCCCACCCCAGGCGTGTGCTAACAGTGTGTCCTGTCCCCTCCATCAACAGCTGGTCCATGCACTTCTGCCCACCTGTAACCCCGTCTCAGTTCAGGGCCCCGTCTCTAGCCTGGATACCTGCTCTAGCCTCTTCCTATCATCTCACTCCTACCTGGAGCCGGACACCATTCCCCATGGCAGCTAGAGCAGGCAGAAACTTTAAAAAAAATCTTTGATAGAATTAAGTCATAGAAATCATTCTGAGTAGAACTAATGAATGTGCACAAACTGAACACATCTTTGTGCCCAGACCTTGAACCAGGCCAGTAGAACACCCCTGGCCCCAGGACCCCCACTGCCCTGTCACAGCACCTGCCCTTGCGCCCATGTGCTGACTGACATCCATAAGTGAGCTTTGCCTGTTCTGGAACTTCATGTAATGGACTCACATGGCATGTCTCCTCTGTGGAGTCCAGCACTGTTGAATTGGGACAAGTCTGGGAGACTCCCCCAGGTGGCTGCGTGGGGCTTGAGTGCATCCTTTTTCTGTGCTATTGTAGAAACTACCATCGAGGGCATTTGGGTCATTTCCAGTCTGGGGCTATGATAAATGAAGCTGCTGAGAACGCTCTTGTCTGTGTCCTTTGATAAAGCATAGACCCATTTCTCTTGGGTGAATACTGAAGGGAGAGATCGTGGTGTCCCAAGGCAGACATATGTTGATGTTTAGCAAAAGCCAGTTTTCCGCAGTGGCTGTACCTCCTTCTCCTCCCACCAGCAGTGCATGAGAGTGCTAGGGGATTTTTATATCCCAACCCTCCCCTGCCCCCAAACTCTCCATGGCTTCCCATTGCCCTCAGAATAAAGCCCACAAATACTGACTGATCCAACCCCTCAACCCTCCCCACCACCATCCTACTTGCTTCTTCCCTTTGCTGCACTGTCGAGCCATAGAGGCTTCTTTGATTTTTTCAAAACACTAAACTCACCGTCATTCTGACTCTGGCCCCTGCCGTTCCTGGGATGGGACCACCCTCCCCCCAGATCTTCCCACCACTGACTCTCTTCCTTCATTTGACTGGCTTTCTTATGCTTCAGGTCTCGGGTCAAATGTCACCTCTTCAGATAGGTATTTCTTGAAATCCCTAGCTAACAATGCCATTTTTGTAGTCAATACTTCACTCTTTTTGGACCTGGGTAGTTCCTATTGTTTTCAAAGGTCTGAGTTTGTTTAAATAACATTGCACTTTTCCTGTCCTATAAGATTTGATAAAACAGTCATAAAACCATCTGAGCCAATAGTATTTTTATGATAGGTCACTTTTCTAGTCATCTTTGGCCACTGGTCTACTTATACTTTCTACTTCTTTTTTTTAAAATGTTTTTAAAGATTTTATTTATTTTTAGAGCGGGAAGGGAGGGGGAGAGAGAGAGAGAGAGAGAGAGAGAGAGAGAGAGAGAGACAGAGGGAGAGAAATATCAATGTGCGGTTGCTGGGGGTTATGGCCTGCAACCCAGGCATGTACCCTGCCTGGGAATCGAACCTGCAACACTTTGGTTCGCAGCCCACGCTTACTTTCTACTTCTAATGAGATTCGTTTATCACAGTGATTGGGACATGGTTGATCTTAATAAATGAAGCATGAGGGTACAAAGAAAGGGGTGAGGAGGGGATTGTCTCTCAGCTTCAAATGCCCACCCCACTGCCTGTTTGCTCAGGATCCCATTCAGTCTCTCCACTGGGGCCCAAATACATGCTTCCTCCTCTGAGATGCCCTCTTGGATTTCTCATGACCCTCCATTCCCTGTCGATGGGTCCATCTCTCTGCCTCTCTGCTGGGCAGATGCCACAAGCTCTCTGCTTTCTGGCTAGACGTTGGTGTGGGGGCTGCACAGAAGAGGCTTCCCCAAACCTCAGCCTCCCTCCTCGTGCCTGGCACATTCAGCAACCACCACCACCTCCCCCCAGCAGTTCCGATCACGCCAACATCTGGAGAACCGGCCGCTGGTTTGTCTGCGGCTTGGAGTGGGGATTTGCATGTAAGTACAAATATATATGCACACCCTGGGCCTTCCACCCCCACATTCCTTGGCTGGCCCTTCACACCTGGGCCTGAGACAGGTCCACTCAGTGGTTGGATTTGCATGCGCGTGTATTTCTGGGTAAGGGAGTCAGCTGGGGGAGTCTGAGAGGAAGTTGTTGAGGGAAGCTGTGGGGAGTTCAGATGTGTCTCTTTTGACCTGCTCTATTCACCAAATCTACTCAGTCACCCCTGTATCTTATCCTGAGGGGCTTCCAGTTTGGAGGAGACGGAGCTGGATACACACATTCCCGGCCCGATGGGGTCAAAACTAAAAGGAAGGATGGGGGCTGTAGCAGTCGGACTGAGGGCAGGGACAGCTTCCCAGAGGGACGAATTTTTTGAGCTGGCATTTGAAGTGTGAAGAAGAGATGGGCAAGAGCCCTGATCAGTGTAGCTCAGTTGGTTGGGTGTCATTCTGCAAAGTGAAGGGTTGTCAGTTTAACTTCCAGTTAGGACACATGCTTAGGTACTGGGTTTAGTCCCTGGTCAGGACACATTTGAGAGGCAGCCAATGGGTGTCTCTCTCTCTCTTTCTCACATTGATATTTCTCTCCCTCTCTTTCTCCCTCCCTTTCCTTCTCTCTAAATAAATAAATAAAGTCATTGAAAATATATATAAAATTTACCATTTAAAATTTTAATTTAATTTTGTTTTTTAAAGATTTTATTTATGTATTTTTAGAGAGAGGAAGGGAAGGAGAAAGAAAGGGAGAGAAACATCAGTGTGTGGCTGCCTCCTGCACACCCCACACTGGGGACCTAGCTCGCAACCCAGGCATGTGCCCTGACTGGGAAGCAAACCAGCAACCCTTTGGCTCACAGGCCGGTGCTCAATCCACCAAGCCACACCAGCCAGGGCTAAATAAATAAAATCTTAAAAAAAAAAGAGTTGGCCAGATGAAGAAGGTGCTAAAAGGCTTTCCAGCAGAGAGCATCTGTTGAAGGCAGAGGAACGTGGGCAGGAGCTGACCGGGGCAGGGCCAGGCTGGGAACTGAAACTGTCTCCTGATGGCAGCAGGGAGCCATGAAGAGTGTGTGAGCAGCGAGGGTCATGATCAAAGCTTTGTGTTGGGTCGATCCCTCAGGGGCCAAAGCTGGGGATGATTTTAGTTCCTGGGTAAGGACTAGAGGTTCCAGGGTCACTGAGAGTCAAAGGAGTAGAACCCCTGGGTGAGCCAATTGGTGCCTGTTGGGCCCGGCCCCAGAAATGGCGGAGACCTGGTGCCTTCTGGAGGACCCAAGGATCCCTGGAGTACAATGACTTCACCCCCAGTCTCTGCCCAGGTGGATGCAGCCCTTGGCCTCCCCTCCAGTATCCTGCCATCTCTAACCCGCACCCCCCCACCCCATGGCAGCCACGGAAAAACATTTCGATGGTAAATCAGACTCTGTCCCTTCTTACTCAGCCCCTCCCATGGCTCTCCGTCACTCTTAGACTCAAACTCTCAGCCTTCCCCATAGCTCAGAGGACCCAGAGTGGCTCTGCCTCTGCGACCCCTCCCCTGGGCTCTGAGCACCAGTCTTGTTGCTGTGTCTCTCCCTCCTCGGGCATTTGCACCTGCTGTTCCTTCTGTCTGGAACTCATTTCCTGTCTTGGCCTTTGGGTCTCAGTTCAGAGAGACCCCCTTTACTTTTTGGCTCATGGGGCTCCCCATTATGTGACCCCTGCCATAGCAAGGATGTCCTTGTCTAAAATGGGGACAGGCTGAGAAGTTGGATATTCCAGGCCCAGATTCTCAGGTTTGAGTCCCGTGTTCCCATGAGACCCTAGGCGTGGGGGGCATTTCCGGAGTCATCTTGGCACTGGGACCTCCGGACCAGTGCCCCTGTCTGCCCCCAGGGACCCATCAGGGCAAGAGCAACACATCCCAGTCGTGGGAACCCGCCCGATTCCAGCCAGGGATTAAAATTAGCCCCAGAGGTTAAATTTAGCAAATCAATCTGGAGCTAGGGGGCTGGGGCTGGGGCTGGGGCATCGGCCAGGCTCTGCGTAGTTGTGACTGCTCAGAAAGCCAGTCCAGGGAAGGTAGAGGGCACTCCTGGGATCTCACAGCAGGCCACATAGGATGGTCAAGGCACCTTACACTCCTGGTCCCTAGGACCCTGGGAAGCAGATGCGACTACTTGTGAAGACAGACCTACAGCACCGTACATTTCCCTACACTTCCCCAGAGCATATTTCCAGGTCTGTGCTGGCTGCTCTGCATTTCATACCCACCTCACTCACAGAACAGCAATGTGAGGCCCAGGGAGAAGTGTCCCTTCCTGAGGGCTGCCCAGTGGGTCAAAACTGGCTAGGACCTGAGCACAGGTCCACTTACCCTGGGCAAGCCCATGATATGGCCTCAGTCACCTGTGACATAGAAGTAGCTTGGGGTAAAGTGTGGTCACAGAATTGGTGGAGGGGTGCCAGGGATCTTGGGGACCTTGGGGTGGCTGACTGTACAGCACGATGGGTGCCACTCGATAGGCAACATGATTTCTTCTTCCCAAGGATCCCTGTGTGGTGGGCACTGGGGAGGGCCCAGACCCCAACACGCTCCTTGTTTTGAAGACACGCTGCCCTGCTTGAGTTGCCCATCTTCACCTCTGGGGACTCCACTGGGGAGATCTGAGATCCCCGTGAGCAGGGTCTGAGGTGTCTCCCAAGCTGCTCTGGGCCCAAAGAGTGAGCTGAGGGCTCCAAGCCTGAGACCTTTCCAGGGTGTCCCCGCCTCCTTCTGGCAGAAGGTGAGACAGGGTTGGTTTCTGTTATTTAAAAAAAGATTTTTAATCATGGCGGGTGGCTCAGTTAGTTGGGGAATCACCCAGGGAGTGCGTGCGGGTGGTGGGTGGGGTGCGACAACCAATCGATGTCTCTCTCCGTCTCTCTCTCTCTCACATCAGTGAACATGTCCTCAAGTAAAGATAGAAAAATAAATAAATAAAGTAATTAAAAATTTTTAACAGAAAGAGTCCATAATCACGGAGGGGGAAAGTTAGAAAATTCAGGTAATCAAAAACAAACAAAAAAAAGCCCTGACTGACGTGGCTCAGTTGGTTGGGCATCGTTCTGCAAACTACAAGGTCACTAGTTTAATTCCTGGTCAGGACACGTGCCTGGGTTTCAGGTTCAGGGATTGTAGAAGGAGAGGCAACCTTTGATGTTTTTTTCTCTCTCTTTCTCCCACCTTTCCCCTTTCTCTAAAAATAAATTAATAAAATCTTTTTAAAATTATTTTTATTTTTGATTTTAGATAGAGGGGAAGAGAGGGAGATAGAGAAGGAGGGAAACGTTGATGTGAAAGAAAAATGTCAATTGGCTGCCTTCCTAAAGTGCCCCTACTGAGGACTGAACATGCAACCCAGGCACATGCCCCAACTGGGAATCAAACCAGGGACCTTTCAGTTTTGGGGGATGATGCCCAACAAACTGAGCCACACCAGCCAGGGCAATGAATATAATCTTTTAAAAAATATCATCACCTGAGGATATATTTTTAAAATAATTCTTTAAAACATGAAAAAAAAAAGACACAAAGGGTCACACATTGTATGGTTCCATTTACATGAACTGTCAGTGGTCGCTGGGGCTGCGGGAGTGGGTGGGGAGTGACTGCTCATGAGAATAGGGTCTCTTTTGGGGGAATGAAAAATTTTTGGAACTAGCCCTGGCTGGTGTAGCTCAGTGGATTGAGCGCGGGCTGCGAACCAAAGTGTTGCAAGTTCGATTCCCAGCCAGGGTACATGCCTGGGTTGCAGGCTATAACCCCTAGCAACCTCACATTGATGTTTCTCTCTCTCTCTCTCTATTTCCCTCCCTTCCCACTCTAAAAATAAATAAATAAAATCTTTAAAAAAAAAAATTTTTGGAACTAGATAGAGGTGATGGTTCTACAACATTGTGAGTGAACTATATGCCACTGAATTATGCACTTTAAAATGGCAAATTTTGTGTGATGTGAATTGCACCTCAGTTTTTTAAAAAAGGAAAACCAACCTGTAAATTTCCATCAGATGGTACCTCCCATAACAAGCTTTTCCTTTTAGTCTTTTCTCCACACTCAATACAGTTTTTAAATGTATGTTTGTTTTGTGTGTGTGTGTGGGGGGGGGGGTTACTGCAGCCCTTGACCTTGTTTCGGGGGCTTTTGTGTGTTGAATGAGTTGAAAGGTCCTGGTGGGCGGGCCAGGCACAGTTTCAGAGGCTCAGGATTACTGAGTGCTACATTGGGTGTCCCTCTCTCCTGGCCTGTTGAGGGCTTTTTTAGGCTTTTGCCAATATTCATAAGAGCAGCACATAAGTGGCACCTGCTAGGCGCCAGGCAGATATAGGTTAGCTCACTTTGTCCCCCACAACAATGAGCAGTACACAACACTGTCACCCCTACTGCACAGATGGATGTCCAGAGAGGTCAGGCTTCCTCAGGTACCAGTTACCAGGGGGTAAGTTTTTAGATGCTGCGGCAGGAGCATCTGTACCTCCATCTTTAGTTCTGGGTCAGCCTTGTCCTCACGTGGAATTGGTGCAAAGATGTTCTTTGAGCATCTACAGCATTCTGGGCTGGCTGAAAATGGGGGCCGTGGGGGTGGCCCAGCCTACCTGGGTTTCCCCCAACACCTCAGCTCAGAGCCGGGCAGGGGGAGGTGGAGCAGAGAAGGAAGGCTGGTCGCCCGGCCCCCTCTCCACCCACGCACTCTGTCCTCATTTCTTCTTCCCCCAGACCAAGTTCGCTCTGCCCAGCCTAGGACAATGGGGAGGAAAAAAATACAGATCTCACGCATTCTGGACCAAAGGAATCGGCAGGTGGGTTCACTGGGTAGAACAGTGGTTGTGGGAAGGCTTTCATGGCAGGGGACGTGGCCTGGGCAAAGGCCTGGCCATTTGGGGGAACTGTAGGGGAATGAGCCCTGATGCCAGGTCTGGAGTTTGAGATGTAGCATTTGCTCACTTTCGTGATTCATGGAAGCCCTGGTCACAGAGGAGATGGAGCTTGACACAAACACACCCAACTCAGAGGGCTGGACCAGAGGGAGGCACAGAGCTGGGGAAGCTCAGAGAGGGTGTGGGCTCTGCCTAGGAGGCCGAGGAAAACATCCCAAAGGAGAGGTCACTTGGGCTGGGTTTTGAAGCATCAGTAGAAGTTTGCCAGGTTGACAAGTAAGACATACAGCCAGAAAGAACAGCCTGTGCAGAGGCACAGAATCATGAGGTGTGTTCAGGAAACTGTTACACCCCTCCCCCTTCCCCATGCCACTCCAAATCCTTGTTTTCTCCTGCTCACCTGTGGGTCCTGCGTCTAGGTGACATTTACCAAAAGGAAGTTTGGGCTGATGAAGAAGGCCTATGAGCTGAGCGTGCTCTGTGATTGTGAGATTGCGCTGATCATCTTCAACAGTGCCAACCGCCTCTTCCAGTACGCCAGCACGGACATGGACCGTGTGCTCCTGAAGTACACGGAGTACAGTGAGCCCCACGAGAGCCGCACCAACACCGACATCCTCGAGGTACCCTGGACCCTGCTCCTCAGGCCCACAAAGCCAGCGCACTGTGCTGGCTCAGAGACTAGGACTCTTGGTTTGTACAAAAGTGTTGCAATCTGGCTTTGCTGCCAGTTACAGCAGGTTTGGGGGTGATGGAGTGTCCCTCTGGGGCAGTTACCTGGATAGTAGAAATAAAAACATCAACCACTTCACATGGATGGCTGCACCATGTGCCCCCTACACATCATCCCATTTAATCCTGTCACCATTTGGTGAGCACAGAACAGAAGATAAAAGGCACCATGGAGCAAGCAGACCTCACTGAAATCCAAGACCATGCAGGTCACTGGTCTCAGGTAGCTGAGGAAATCCCATAAAATTGTCCTCAGGTGCTCAGTTTCTCAGCATTTATTGAGCACCTCCTGCATGCAGGCTCCAAAGTAGATGTAGATCAGGGGCATCAAACTCATTTTCACCGGGGGCCACATCAGCCTCGTGGTTGCCTTCAGAGGGCCTAGTGTAATTTCAACTCCTTAACTGTTAAGGAGTAGTTACATTTATACAGTCCTAAAATTATTTTGGCCCTGTGAAGGCAACCTCAAGGCTGATGTGGTCCCAGTGAAAATGAGTTTGACACCCCTGATGTAGATGCAGAATGGAGATACCCAGAGTTGTGTTCAGGAGGAGTGTTAGGACAGTGCTAACAGGCCTCGGTGGGTCTCTGGTTTCAGGACAGGACAGTCCCTCTCTTACACACAGTGAGAGGGAAAGTTGAAACTTACCATATAACTCACTGAGGGCTTTGGTCAATGGAATTTTACTGGAATAGACTGTACCTTCACTCTGCCCCACCCACAGTGCTGGGTAGGTCTCTCCCGTCACCCATACTATCAGACTCCCTGGCTAGGATGGGAGAAGTTTCACCCTGCTTTGTTTCCTCCCCGCAGACACTGAAGCGGAGGGGTGTGGGCCTCGATGGACCAGAGCTGGAGTCAGATGAGGGACCTGAGGGGCCTGGAGAGAAGCTGCGGAGGCTGGCAGGTGATGGGGGCGATCCAGCCTTACCCCGGCCCCGGCTCTATGTAAGTGACTCCCTGTCTTGCCATAAATGTGGCCCTCTCCCCATCTCCTAGGCCCAAATGGTCAAGACTAAGGCTGAAAAAGGGCCAGGAAACCTAGAGTTTGGTGGTAGGTCTCTGCCTAGATAGACAGGAAAAGCTTCCTGGAGGAGTGGGCATTGTAGCTAGGGCTTTGAAGGATGACTGGGAGTCCAATAGGCAGATAGCTTTTCTTTCTTCCTTCCTTTCTCCATCTCTCTCTGTCTCTCTCTCTTCCTTTTCTTTCTTTCTTCCTCTTCCTTCCTTCCTTCCTTCCTTTCTTTCTTCTTTTCTTCCTTCCTTTCTTTTTCTTTTTTTTAAACATTAGGTGATATGGGTTTTTTTTTTTAAAGATTTTATTTATTTATTTTTAGAGAGGGAAGGGAGGAAGAAAGAGAGAGAGAGAGAGAGAGAAACATCAATATGCAGTTGCTGGGGGCCGTGGCCTGCAACCCAGGCATGTGCCCTGACTGGGAATCGAACCTGTGATGCTTTGGTTCGCAGCCCGCACTCAATCCACTGAGCTACGCCAGCCAGGGTATTTCTTTCTTTTTTTTTCTTTCTTCTTCCTTCCTTCCTTCCTTCCTTCCTTTCCTTCCTTCCTTCCTTCCTTCCTCCCTTCCTTCCTTCCTCTTTCTTCCTCCCTCCCTTCCTCCCTTCCTCCCTTCCTTCCTTCTTTCCTTCCTTCCTCATTCATCAAACACCTGGGAGGCCTATGCTGAGTGAGAAGCCACAGCCCTGGGCCTGGCTGTCAAGGAGAAACAGATCCAGACACAGGCATGCCGGGCCATGTAAGGTTAGGTCACAGGGAGGAGTAGTGAGGGCTTCTGAAAGGTGGAGACTGGCCCTGAACACATTGGGATATTCTGTCTTGGGCTTGATGCCCTCACCTCCTCATTGCTCCAACCAATCCTGTCCTCTCTGCCCTCAGCCAGCAGCCCCTGCTATGCCCAGCCCAGACATGGTATATGGGGCCCTGCCCCCACCAGGCTGTGACTCCAGTGGGCTTGGGGAGGCCCTCCCTGCCCAGAGCCGCCCATCCCCCTTCCGGCCAGCAGCCCCCAAAGCTGGGCCCCCAGGTAAGCATGAGGCACAGGCAGAAGCATAGGGGAGAGGCAGGGGAGAAGATCCCAGGGGAGCATGTGGGGGTGTGGATCTTGACTCTAGCCCTCCTTGGCTGTGTTTATCACCTCTGGACCTGAGACTTCAGTAGATGACATGTCTGCCTGCCCTCTCTCTGGGGGTCTCCTGCTCCACAGGCCTGGCCCACCCTCTCTTCTCACCGAGCCACCTTGCTAGCAAGACACCACCACCCCTGTACCTGACAGCTGACGGTCGGAGGTCAGACCTGCCTGGTGGCCTGGGAGGGGGCCGAGGGGGACTGAGCACCTCGGTGAGTGAGGGGAAGGAGGGTCAGGGCTGTGGGGGGCAGGTAGGGTGGCCTGAGTGTGGGCCTCAGTTCCCCCTTCCCCCTTTCTCTGCACAGAGAGGCCTCTATGGTAGCCTGCAGAGTCCATGTTCTGCTGCAGCTCCAGGACCCCCACTCGGAAGCTTCCCCTTCCTCCCAGCAGGGCCCCCAGGTATGTGCCCCCCACAGCCCTGCCTGCTAGGCAGCCCACACTCCCCCACCCACCACCTCGAAACTGGCTAGTGGGGGCCTCAGTTTACTCCTCCTGCCCCCCCAGAATATGGCCTTGGAGACCCCCCTCCGCCCCCGGGATTGCTGCAGCCCCCTACCCTGGCCCCCTGGCAGCCCTCGAGGGGCGATGGGCCCCTAGCCGCCGCTGCCCAGCCCAGGTAAGTGCCCTGACTGCCTCTCCTACCAGTCAGGCTCCGCGGTGGGGCCTCTCCTTGTCTTCCGAAGCCCCTAGCCACTGCTGACACCTGGTGGCCACTCCTGTTCCTGCACTCAGCCCTTCCAGAGTGCTGGCGGAGGTGGGGGTGGGGGGCGGCTATTTTGGAGGCCCCAAGAGAGATGACCACCCCCTCCTTTCCCAAGGTCCTCCTGCTGAGCCTTTGCCCAAGCCATGCCACCTCCTGGTTTCCCTCCCTTCCTCACAGAGCTCACAGCTCTCTCTCCCTCCTCCTCTCTTTGCAGTGGGGGCCGCAGCCTGGGCGAGGAGGGTCCACCAGCTCGCGGTGCCTCCCCAACGACCCCCCAAGTCAGCATCAAGTCTGAGCGTCTCTCACCGGCACCCGGGGGCCCCAGCGACTTTCCCAAGACCTTTCCCTACCCCTTGCTCCTGGCCCGGCCCCTGGCAGAGCCCCTACGGCCCGGGCCCCCGCTGCGCCGGCTACCGGCCGACGGCTGGCCGCGGTAGTGGACTTGGGGGTGGCACTGGCCCTGCCCCCTATTCCAGGCTGGGCGAGGTCACGTAGGCTCGCCACCTCCCTCCCCATGTCCTTAGAGAAGACCCAGTGGATACGGCCCCCTTCACGGTGGGGGTCTGGAGAAGGAAGGTTGGGTTGGGATCCATGGACATGGGGCTCGATTTCCCCTTCCTGAGTGTGTACCCACCAATAAAACATGTATGGCCTCCGTGGATGAAACGATCTGTCGCTGCTCAGAGCCACCCCTACCCGCGCCAAGATCCTCCCACCTCGCCCAGTAGCCTCAGTCCAGCCTTGCCTGGGTGTGGGGTATTCCCACCATAATTCCGCCCTGAGTGAGGATTCAAGCGCGGGTCGGGTATGGGGAGAAATTCCTAGGGTGGGATGGCGATGTGAGGACAGGGGCTCTGCAAGGGACGCAAACGAGCACGTGACAGCAGCAGGGCACCAGGGCTGGCCTTTGGGAAACATGTGGAGTGTGCCTCTAGAGGTTCCATCCCCTGGGGGGGGGGGCCTGGCTATTTACCCTCCAACTTTGGGGGTGACTGGTGGTAGGCTCAGGGGCAAGTCCTCAGGCTGGTCAAAATTGCTTGCAGCAAAAAAGTAGCTGAGAAATTCCAATGTTGGGGTACTATGCTGTTTCTCTTTTAAATGTCTTATCCCTTGATCCCTTGACTCTGCAGTTTTGTTCCACGGGAGGGAGGAGAGAGCCCCTCGGTTACCCGCTTACTCTGAGGTGCACACTACACTCTCCACGCTCCCTGGCCTGTCCCATGTGTGGGCAGGCTTGAGGATCCAATAGCGCAAGGGAGCTCTCTCTGCTCACCCCACCTCCAGTCACCTTGCAGGTGGTCTCATTGGGACCTTTATGACACTCAGATCGGCCCTTGACAGTCATAGCTCCTCAGCTGCCCCACCCACTCTGCCCCTGTCCCCCACACTGACTCCTGACGCCCCTAGAAATGCTTGCAGTTCCATCCCCAAGACAATGCTAGTCCTTCCTCCTGGACCACGTCCCTTATCCCCCAACTCATTTTTTTTAAAAGACTGCTTCCTACCCTCCAAGGTCTAACTCTATGTCCGCTCCTCCAGGAAGGCCTCTGCACTGCCCCAAGCCAAGAAATGGCTGCGACTGCTAAGGCAAGCAGACAGAGCGTTTGTTGAGTGCAAATCACCAATTTGGACAGGAATGTGAACACAGAATATTGGCATCAGCGCCTAAAAGATGTGTCCACGTCCCCCCCCCACCCCCCAACACACACAGAGTTCTACAAAGATCCAAAGCTGATTGGTTCAGCTTGGCTGTTGAAGACCCGTGTCTCCTCTTGTCACCCCAGCACTACACAGAGGTGCTTTTGCAGTAAACTCCAAAGCCTTGCATCCCACCATTCACGCACACAGTCACAGACGGTGGGTAAAGAGGGGAAGCATGTGCAGAACAGGCTTCAAAGTCAGTCCCAGTCCATGGAATTCAGCACCTCCTCTTCTGTAGTCCTCATTTCCCCACCAAGACTTAGGGCTGACTCCTTCCAGGGGTGGGGAGAGGGGAGAATATGTGAGGTGGCAGAACTTTCTGTGAGGCGGGGCACTCTAAGTGGTTGTGCGCAGGGAGTCAACACCCACATGCCAGACCCCAGGTGGGCTTTGTCCTGCACGGAACTTTGAGTCCTTGACACATCATCCCCAGTAGAGTAGGGGTCTTGGGGCCCCAGTTTCCAGGGGAGGGACATGGCATGATCAGAACTCCCATGGTGGAGGGTTCATTAGGGGGGGCAATGGGCAATAGCAGCAGGAGGCTGAAGGGCTGGGAGGGAGGCGTGTTTGGGGCAGAGCCACCAGGATCCCTGGATGGCTCTAATGTGGGGGTAAAAGGAAGAGGATGCCATGGACAACTCACGGCCTCTGACCTGGATGAGGGTGTTAGGGGGCCCCCACCTGTGCTGGGAGGCCTGCAGAGAATGCAGAGGGTGTGGGGTGAACTCAAAGTCTCTGTAGGGTGTCCAAGTTAGGCTGGGGAGTCCTCTCACCCAACTCAGACTCAGGTCCTAAATACTCTTCACCTGCTCCCTCGTGCCCCAACCCAGCCTCAGAGGAGTGAACCCCTGCCCCACACCAGCCCATAACAGTGGACTCTGGGATCCAGGCCACACAGACACCCTCCGCCATCCCCAGCAGCACCATCAGCACTGGCATGGTGGTCACCTGGAGAGTGCAAATTCTCCACCTTCTGGGGATCCCCTCCTTTGGGTCACAAGGACCCTGGCCATCTCCACGGGGTGGATAAACTTCCCACCTGGTGGATCTCACAGTGTCATGGTCACAACCCCTCATACAACCAGACACAGGAGCCTTGGGGGACACTGAGGCAGAGCTAGAGAGGGTCCCTTCTCAGCTTCTGGGTCTCACCCTCGCAGTGGACAAGAAGCCAAGCCAGTCTCTGTAGTCTGTGCCTACAAGCTAAATGCTCAGTGTGGAGTTCATAAAAACATGGGCTGCTTCAAAGACTTGGAGGAACCCCAGGGCACCTGCATGTAGCCTGCACTTTTGCCATCTGACACTAGGTGGCGCCCAAAAATGTGCTTTGGATTCTGAGCTTCCCACTCAATATTTTAAAATGAAATAGAAATAGTAATACATACATAAAATCCATCTTGGCTTCCAGGGCGTTCACCCCATGTCTTTGTGCTCCTAGCCTGGGGACTCAGAAAAAGGCTGTGGCATGTGTTGTGTGTGCGTGATTATGCATGTACAGTGTGCAATGTCCTAGCCCATGAAGGAACCGTGGGCAGGCTACTGGGTTCTAGAAAAACCTCTGCATCCAGACCCTGGATATGTCCCTTGGCTCTGTTGGGGAGGAAGCAGGGAAGGTTATATGGAAATGTCCTCCCACCAGCCTTGCTAAGGACCTCCTTTGCTAAGGACACCGTGGTGACATTGGTCAGGGCCAGTGTTACAGTAAGGCCCGAGTCCTCTAGGAGCTCAGTCACTGGCTGGAAGCTCCGTGGGAATTGTGGCCTGGGCATAAACACAGTGAAGGGTGTTGGATATCTGAGAGATGCATTTTCTAGAGTACTGTGGTATGACAGTCAGTGTGGAATGAGAGTGTGGATCTCAGTATGGTCACAGAATGTGGGACGCTGGTGTGGACAGACATAGAAATCATCCAGTAAGGATCAGGGGGAATGGAATGCCCAATGGAGAGGACAGAGACCAAGGAATGTCCAGTGGAGAACACAGATGTTGAGCAAACAATGAAGAGTGGAGCACAGAGACATTCTGATGTAGAAGAGAAGGCTTTGGTTTTGTTCTGTGTGAGTTGGGAGTCATGGATGGTTGCAAGCAGAGGAGCAGAGGAGGGATGTTAACGTTTGAGTCATGGCTCAAATGTTAACAGGTGCTCTCAAACTGCTCGGGAGAAAACAGACTGTGAGATGGGGGTGGGGAATAGAGAATGGAAGCCAGAGACCAGTGAGAAGGAGAATGCAGGCAGGAGATGACGGAGGCGGGATTGGGTGGAGGCTGTGAAGGGAGTGAGGCTGGGTGGAAGTGGGTTGCACTTGGAAGGTAGTGCCATCAAGAGGAGCTAACAGATTAGGTGTGGGGTAAGAGAGGAATCAAGGCCAACTCCAGGGTTTGTGGATAAGGACCAGGAGGATGGAGAGGCAGTGGAAGGAAGATTGGGAGCTTCTGGGGCCAGGATGTGTGTGAGTTGCCTGTGACTCACCACATGGGGGCACTGTGACACTCGGACACAGGAGTCCCATGCCCCAGGAAGAAGTCAGGTAGAAGCAGAGATCTGAGCCTCTCCGGGCCTCAATATTTTCATCAATTAAATGGAGACAAGTGTCCCACTACCCTGGCCTGCTGCAGGGAGTCCCATTGTAGCATGTAGTGGGCCTGCAGCAAATGTCCCCATGCCCCACCTTTTCTTTCTTGTTCCCTCTTTTCCGACACCTTCCCCAATCCCATCTTCCCTGGCTCTCCTCCCATCTTCCCTGGCTCTCATCTCTTCCCTGGCCCTGGCCCTGAGGGGCACGTCATGACCCCGATGTAGGTCCTGGTAAATCCCAGAGACCCTCACTATCTCTGTCATCTCTACTCTCTCAAAGGGACAAAAGTCACAGGGAATCCTCTGCAAAAACACATCCACAAAGACAAAATCAATAAAGACAAAATCACCCATAGAAATAAGACAATCCACCATACAGGCCCTACTAACAGGTACCCACCCCATAAAGACATTGCCCCACCCACCTGTGCATCGACACTCATGCAGACATACATCCATAGAAACAGATGACAAAACTTAGGCACCTAAGCCCTTGCTTCCAAGCCTGGAAAGAGAAAACATTGGATTCCGTTCTCTCTCTCCCTTATGGAACACGGTACCTTCCCCCCAGCCCACTCTAAGCTCTAAGGGTTCTTCTTCTGACTCTGTAACTTATTTCTGAGCCCACGAAGCCCAGTTTGATCACTTTTTTCTACCTCTGTGAGTTTCTAAATAAACTTTCGCTTGAACTTGAAAGAAAGAAAATATAAGATTCCTGAGGCTGATGTTTGATTCTTGATCCAGGCATGCCTGAAGTTGATACTATTTTTAGAGTTTTCTGTTAGAGGAACCAAAATTTATCTTTTTTTACTGGAGACCATTTGAGTTGGAATTTATTTATTCATTTGTTTGCTTGTTTGCTTAGGTTCACAACCAGAGTTCTGGATGATAGAGATGAATACGACTTTTGTCAAGTGAAAAAGATTGAGAAAGGAGTCATTCCAAGATGGAAGACAACATTAACAGAAGCTTGGAGGTATGAGATAGAGTGGCTGGTGGCAAGCTGTACTATAAGATGCACAACCCTACTGGCAGCCAATTGAAGTCAGGCAGAGGGTTCTGAATTCAGCACTAGCACCTGAGCGTCTAGTCAGTGGGAGCCATTTAATGTCCTTGATCAGGAGAGTTTCATGTTCAGAACTGTCCTACAGGAGACAGTGAGTGAGAGGACGAATGAATGTATTGGCCGCAGACCTGCGACACAGGTCCAGATGAGCAGCCTGAGCCTCAGGGAGGGAGGTCACACAGGTGTCCCTGATACAGTCCCGATTCAACCGCAGTGTGAGCTCCTCCGGAGTCTTTGAACTACGACTTCCGGCATGCAATGGGAACGAACCCGGTTCTACAGTGTTACGCTCAGCACACAGGCCTAGTGATTGGTCGCAAGGGCTGCTTGTCATACCAGAGTCAGGCTCCGATTGGTCGAGTTCCCATAAAATGCCCTAAGCCTGGACCCGTGGGTCCTCGAACCGCGCTCCAGCCAGCGACATGGTAAACGGGTGTCCTGAGACTCGAAGGGAGGGGGTTTCTTTTGTAGGGATTGGAGGCTCGCGCAGAGTGACGTGTGTCTCTCTCTGGGGTCAGCATCTCGCTGCGGGACTTATGAGGGATTGGAAGGTCTTGCCTAGAGGACTGGAATCCCCTGAACATTCTGAGGGTCCTACTCTCTAGGATCCTGAGATCCCCTGAGAGTACTAGGGACCTGAGCTCGTTCGCGACCCCACAAGGGAGGTCTGGGGTCCCTCTGGGACTCAATCTAGGGACAGGGTCCTGCGGGAGCGCCGGCGAGTCCCTGAGGGTACTGGTATATGCAGAAGGGCCTGAGGGCCCTGAAAGGAGGGGGCCAGGCTGACGGGATCTGGGTGACTTGAGGGCGGCAAGAATCTCAGTTTGGAGACAGCACAGTTGGAGCACTCAGGTCTCACACGGCTCTAGGTCCAATCTTTGAGTTAGTTGTTAAAATTTATGCCAAGCTGGTGCCTAGCGAGGGTGGGGACCCCCCAGCCCCTAGGGGTTCGCACTGGACAAAGGGAGACAGTCTGGAGGGGCCCAGAAGGAGGCCTGACCCTGCTAGAGGCGAGGGGGCAGGGGTTTCCGAGGAGGAGCGTTGGAGGAGGGCCTGAAGTGAAAGCACTGATGAAGGGGGTGTGCTTGAAAGTGGGAGTCATTCTGGGATGGGTGGAGATGCTATGGGCGGCAAGGGACATGGCTCTCCGGACCAGAATGGAGGAAAGATCCAGAGAAATGCCCTGAACAGGGGAGGGAGTGCCAGGCTCCAGAAGATCTTTGGAGATCTGCAGAGTGTGGATCCCAGGATGCTGCTGGTGGCAGGATGTGAGAAACATCCCTGGACAGACCTGGGGGGTGCTTAGGTGGAGGACTCATGCCTTCCTTCTATCCTTCTTAGCCTCCCTCTGGTCCTCTCTTCCTGTTATGGGTACTGGGACCACAGTTCCTACTATGGGCCCCCTCCCTGGGAGCTGTGGGGTGGGGGCCAGTGAGCCAGGCATTGTGGTGGAGTGATCTGGAGCTGGGCCTGCCAGGCCTTGCGAGCTGTGGAGCAGAACTGCACGCTGACTGTGAGACTGAGAAGCTGTGGGGAGCCCTGGAGGAGCCACATGCTGTGTTCTTGGGAGTGAGGGGTGGGTGCTGGCCCCCCCCCCCAAAAAAATGCCTGGGAAAGCAGGGGTCTGCAGTTTTGGCAGAGAGGTCCAGGCTGGGGGTGCAGCTCTCTTGAGGTCTTACTGGGCCAGGTCAGTGGTTAACACCCAGGCAGAGTGGGGTTATGGGAGAGAGGCCCACAGAGGGAGGAGAAAAGCAGGCGAGGGTGCTCAGAAGCTGGGAAGTTTGGAGAGCGTTGGTGGGAGGCACTGGGGGTCCCCAGAGTAGAGGAGAAGGGGTCCTGGGGGAGAAGCGTGGGTGGGAAGCCTGGCCCTCAGTGCTTGGGAGTGCCCACAGACCTTGACAATGCCGTGGTCATTAGTGCCCGCTGGCCAGTTTGTACTTGGTGGGGGGAGGGTGAGCAATGAGACTAGATCAGTGAGATGTAGAGATCAGAAAGATGGCACCCCACCCTCGTTACTGAAAAATTACTTATGGTCTCAGTGCACAAGTGTAGGCATAGAGAAAATATCCAGTGAGTTGGTTATTTTAATGATGCATTTCCCAGCCGTTACTCCGATTTACAGTGCTAGGCCTGATATTTATCCCACTGGAGCTTTTCCTTTTCAAGTTAGCTTAGTTTTGCCTAATTACGGGTAATTTAAATAATTAATATTAATCCATCTCATTTTAGTTGTTAATTATAATGTCATAATACTAGTAGATAACTCTCCTAAGCATGTTTTACATAATTACATAATTACTGATAGCAGATCAGTATTTTCTACATTCAAATGCTTCAGACTGATTATCAAAAAACATTTCTCCTAAAGTGTTTTAAAATAAGCACGTGAAAATGTGTTATGGATTTTTGTTAAAAAGGTTGGTGTATAGAACTTGGTGAGAAAATTCCCAGTGAAAAAACAGTCACCCCACTCAAAGGGTTGAGTCTGTCCCAGAACAGGTAGTGGCCGGCCAAGGAGGTTGATGACAAGGGGAGGTGCAAGAGGAGAAGTGGGTGACCCAGCCAGCAGGGTGAAAGGTTGGAGACAGAAGCTTGCCTGAAACAATTGGTGCCAAGACTGGGACCATGATGGGCTAGGAGCTGTTTTCACTGGGTGCACCGGGGCCATTGTAGGCCCAGCAGGCAGTCACAGTGGGAAGCACTTCGTTTTCAGCTGATGAAAACCAGGCTGGGGAGGTTAATACCTGAAATTCATGGTGGGGACTGGAAGCAAACCTGTCTGAGCCTGTCTCTGCCCCAACACATGCTCTCCATCCCCCCAGCCAAGTGTGGGGTTCTGTGCTCAGCAGAGGCTCCCGGGATTGGGTCTGACCTCACCCCAGTCCTCTTCCCCCAAGATGCATCTGGAGCCAGGGAAGCCACCCTCCCCCACCTGGCTCTGCATCTCTATAAATAGCTGGGTTAAGAAGGAGTGATCTTGGAGGGAATGATCTTGTTACTCTCTGGCCAGCACTACCTGTCATGTCCCCTCCCCCAGGCTGTCCTTGGAGTGCAGCTGGTGGTGACCCTGCTCACTGCCACTCTCATGCACAGGCTGGCCCCGCACTGCTCCTTTGCACGCTGGCTGCTCTGCAATGGCAGGTGAGCAACAGCCCCTCCCAGAAGTGGGAGGGGCCCTGCCTTGGACCCTGATGGTAGTTTCTTTCTCTTTTTTTTGATTGTATTTATTTACCTTTAGAGAGGAGGGGAGGGAGAACTCGAGGGAGAGAAACATCAATGTGTTAGAGAAAAATCAATCAGTTGCCTCTCACATGCCCCCAACCAAGTATCCCACCCTCTACCCATGCATGTGTCCTGCGTGGGAATCGAACTGACAACCTTTTTGTTAGCGGGCTGGCCCTCAGTCCTCTGAGCCACACCAGTCAGGGCTGGTAGTTTTTTTAAAACAGCTTTACTGAGATGAGTTAAATACAGCAAACTGCATGTTGGGGAAGTGCACAGTGGATTGGTTCTGACAGGTGCACACACAGGAGACCATCTCCACCCTCGGAAGAGCAGCTGGTTCCCCCACTTCACCCCTCTTTCACTCCACTCTCACTGTTAGATGTAGATGTTTCCCGAACTACTTTCTGTCCCTGTTCGGGTCTGGGATTTGGTAGAAACTGCACACTCTCTTCTTAGGACAGTGTGCACACCCGCTGTGCTGGGAGAGTTAGCCAGCAGACACAGGGGTGTCCATGACCCCTGCTGCACTGCCCCAGCCCACCTCCCGTGCCTTGCCCTGGCCTTCCATAGTCCCTGCTCCACCTGTCGCCAGGTGTGCTAGGGTGCAGCCCTCCCTCTGGCTCCAGTCCTGGGTTCCGGGGTTCGCAGCTTTGACATCCCCTCTGCCTGTCTTTGCCCTCAGTCTCTTCAGATACAAGCACCCTTCAGAGGAAGAGCTCCGGGCCCTGGCGGGGAAGCAGAGGCCCAGAGGCAGGAGGGAGCGGTGAGTGAGCCCCCTGCCTTAGGGGAGGTTGCCCACTGCAGGCACTGCTGTGGGCACAGAGGAGAAGCCAGGACACTGTAAGCTGAATGACTTTTATTGTCATGCATAGGCTGCCTTTAGTAGGCATCGAATGCTTAGAAGTTTGCAGGGGGAAGGCCCTGTGGGTGGGTGGTGCCCACACTCGGGTGTTTAGAGGAAATCCAAATTAGGGGAGAAGGTACCTCCCAAGCCAGCTCCTGTGCTCTGTGGGTGGCACTCGGCACCTCCCAATCTGGGGGAGCAAGAGGTGTACTGGACTGGGGAGGAGAGAGTGGAGGATGCTGCTCTGACTCCCCCCACCTGCAGGTGGGCCAATGGCTATAGTGAAGAGAAGACTTTGTACATCCCCCGAGATACCCCTTTCCAGCTTGAGACCTGCCCCCTCACAGCCGTGGATGCCCTAGGTAACAGCCCAGTGGGTCCCCAGCTCCCCTCACGTTGCCCACACCCTGGCAGGGTGGGTGGGTAGGGGGAGGCCCTGGGCAGGCGGCTTCAACTGAGCAATGTGTCCCACAGTCCTGCGCTTCTTCCTGGAATACCAGTGGTTCGTGGACTTCGCCGTGTACTCAGGTGGCGTGTACCTCTTCACAGAGGCCTACTACTATGTTTTGGGCCCAACCAGGGAGACCAACATTGCTGTGTTTTGGTGTCTACTTACCATCGCATTCTCTCTGTATCCTTCCAGCTCCAGGTGGGGCAGGTGGGGGCACGTTCGAACCTGACTAGGCTCCCTGTCTCCCTGAAATTAGTCATTGGTTGTGGGCTACCGTGACACAAGCCTCCCCCAGACTCAGTGGGGTAAAGCAGTCACTATTTCAGTTGCTTTCCTGGACCAGGCTCAGCTGCGTGCCTGGTCTGTGCTCCCCATCGTGCCCCTTCTAGCAGGCTGGGCCAGGCTTCCACACTGCAGTTTGGCAGCAAGGAGGACAGGGCACCGCGGGCCTCCCGAGGCCTTGCCCCAGCTGGCCCGCCATGTCCCTGTCCATCCTCACGGTGAAAGAAAGTCTCCAGGCCCGCACAGACATAGGGCCGGGAAGGAGACGCTCCTGCTACAATTTTTAAATTTTTTTACTTCATGCAATTAAAAAAATGTTTTATTTATTGATTTTAGAAAGAGGAAGAGAGATAGAAACATCAATCTGTTGTTGTGCTTATTTATGCATTCGTTGGTTGATTCTTGTACGCACCCTGACCAGAGATCAAACCTTCAGCCTTGGTCTGTCCAGACGACGCTCTTGCCTATTGCGCTACACGGCCAGGGCAATTTTTCTGTTAAGCTGCACAGAGAGCAGAGGTGAACCCGTGACTTTGGGGACCCAAGTAGGAGAAAATGTCCTCATGGAGTGGGCTTGGGAAGAAGGGAAGCCCATCCTGGGGTCCACACGTCCCTGAAAGCACTGGGGTCTCTTCAGGGCACATTGGGGACACAGCCCTTGTGTCTGCCAACTTCTCAGAGAAACAGGCTGTGAAGGTAGCCAGACAGCCAGGTGGGCCTCCTGAAGAGACTGACCTTTTGGTGGTTTCTAACTGCCCATGCACAGAGTGGTAAGCCAAGCCAGAGGCCTGGCCCAGGGGACCTGCCACATGCATGGCCCCATGCTGCGGCCACAGGTGTGAGCAGCATTCTCGAGTTATGTCCTGGGCTTGTTGATCGGCTCATTCTTCTCTTTGGTCACTCCCCTGCTCCCCAGGACCCCAAACCTAAACATGGTGTTTGTGCTCTGGATTTGGGGTCTCACTGGCTCGGGGTAGTGGAATGGGCAGGGGCATCGCAGGTGGGGCCTCCTTAACTCTACCCCCAGCAAGGTATTCCTGACAGTGACCCGGCTGTACTTCGGCACTGAGGGGGGTGGCGAGCGCTCCGTCTGCCTCACCTTCGCCTTCCTCTTCCTGCTCCTGGCCATGCTGGTGCAGGTGGTGCCGGAGGAGACCCTGGAGCTGGGCCTGAAGCCAGGTATGTGCATTAGAGGTGTGGCGTGGGCACCTGCCACCCACCCCCCCTGTAAGCTGGTGAGTAGGGGGTGTAAGTGGTTTGTTTTATCTGCACGCTATAAGTAAAAGACGTGGCTCTTGGGGCCTGACAGTCTCCGTGGGTTTCTACCCTCACTGCCTCCCCTCCCCCCCGCCACCGGCACCCCCCTCGGGCTTTGGGATGAGAGGACATCCAGCCTCACTCTCCGACGGACGCCAGCGGCTGTAGCTGTTCACACGGCCCTCCTGTTCCCCTCCAGTCTGCCCTCCACCCAGCAGCCACAGTGAACATTTACTTATTTTTGTTTAATTTATAGGAGGAAATAGGTAAATGGTACACAATTTGTAAAATACAAAAGGCTATAGAGTGAAAATTACCCTTCCACACTGGTTCTCCTCCCTGGGGGACACCTAGGTGCCACTTTTCCTTATAAAAAAAGTAGTTTAGGAGTCTCTACATCTTGTCTTTTTCCCTTAAAAGTAATAAATATTGAAGGTTGTCCCACCATGTACATACGGTACTGTTTCTTGGGACAGGTACATGGTATTTCATCTTTTTAAAATGTTTTCCTTTCTTTTAATGAAAAGGTATATTTAGGGGAAAAGGGGCTGGAATCCCTGTGAAGGTTAAAACCTTATCTCCTCCTTTTGAGAACTAAACTAAGGAGGGGACTGAGAAGGTGACAGTGAAGGTCAAGTCGGAGGGTAGTATTATAGTTAAGAGATCCATTCACAGGCCAGACTTCCTGGTCTCCCAGTTTGTATTGAGGCCAGGTTGTGTCACAGTAGAGAGTCAAGCACTTGGGCTCGAGGTCGGTAAATCCCAGAGCCTTTCTTTTTTCTTTTCTTTTCTTTTGGTTTTTTTTAAAGATGTTATTTATTTATTTTTAGAGAGAGAGGAAGGGTGGGAGAAAGAGAAGGAGAGAAACATCAATGTGTAGTTGCCTCTCATGCACCCCCTACTGGGGACCTGGCCTGCAACCCAGGCATGTGCCCCGACTGAGAATCAAACCAGTGACCCTTTGTTTTACAGCCCATGCTCAACCCACTGAGCTACCAGGCAGGGCAGCCTTTAAGTTCTTAAGTAGACATCCCAATGGGGAGACCTGGGGTGGGATCAGCTGAGTATTGCCCACAGTGAGAAGGAAGCTGGGTGAGGAGGAGGCTATCTGTAGAGACCAGAGAGATGGAGAAGGATTCGGATGCTCTCTCCAAACCTCTCGGAGACAAGGTTAGGGAGTGAGCCCGGGAAGAGCTTCTGGTGCCCATTGCTCCCCTGGCCTCAGCTGCCCACAGGTCTCAGCTGGCCGGAGGAGTGGGAGAAATAGATATTGTCTTCGTATGGGCCACCAAAATGTTAGAGCCACTGGTGATGCAGGCTGTGAAAGAATTCACAAAGAGAAGAAAGAGATTTTATTCAATCTCCAAGAAAGGAGAGGGGCATGGTGTGGAGAGATGAACCAGCTGGTATTTCATCTTAAGGTTGCTCTATTAATATTTACCCAGGCTCCTGTGTATGGACATCTAAGTCTTTTGCTATTAAGTGTTTTTGCACAAAACCATGTTGTTGCACAACAAGGACATTGGGAATAGCTTTGTGCCTGTGGCCCTGTGCAACAGAGTGTGTTTGTAATTTTGATAATGTTGCAAGTTGCCCTTCAGGAAAGATGCACCAAGGAGCCTGTTTCCCCACATCCCGCCCCCACCCAGTGTGTTTCCTCAGACTGTTTCTTGGGTAATCTAAGGGGTGAAAATGTAAGTGAGGCTGAGAATCTTTTTATATGCTGAAGAGCTACTCCTCTTTCCCTTCCAGAAAAGGTCTGTTCTTTTGCCCAGTTTTTAATGGGTTGTGAGCCTTTTATTAATTTGTAGGAGCTCTTTCTTTATATATTAAGGAAATTAGCCTTTGTGTGTGATAGGAGTTGCAAATATTTTTTCTTAGTTTCTCATTTTTCTTTTCACTTTTTTTATTACTTGATCGGTCTTTTAAAAATATAATTTGGATCATGTCACTTCTCTGCCTGACACCAGACTTGAATGGTCCTTGGGAAAAGGACCAAAATCCTCACTGTGCCTTACATGGCCCTGTTGATTACTTGAGCTTCATCTTTTCCAATTATCCCCGCTCTTCTAGTTTTAAAATTATATAACTTTTGATGTACATAAAAGAACACATATGTAAATTACAAGGCAAAATAGTAACGTAAACACCCATGAACTAATCTCCCAAGTAAGAACTGGCCCATTCCCGCCGCTCATGTGTGGCTCTGGTGTTCCTCGATCCTGCCGCCTTCGCCCCGTTCCCTGCCTCAGCCAGTCTCCCAGCTTTGTGTTCATCCTTCCTTTGCCTTAAAAAACAAACAAACAGTTTCATCACATGTGTTTCTGTCCCTAAAGAATTTATCCTGCAGTTTTACAATGTGTCGTCTTCCAGCCGGGCTTTGCTGTCTCTCTGAGACTGTTTCCAAACTAGGCTGCGTGGGTCTGGGTGCCTTTGGCTCGTCCCTCGTCACCATGGATGATGTGGTCAGACTCCGCTCCTCTCTGCTGGCCCTTTCTCCTGTCGATGGACATTTAGGTGGTTTCCAGAGTTTAGCTTTTTCCAGTTGTTACAGGGAACATTCTTGTACATAGTTCCACATATTCACGGGCAGGCATTTCTTTTGGGTACAGACTTGGGGACTGTGGGGACATGTTTACCTTTACGAGATGGTGCCTCAGCATTATTAGAGCAGTTTCCAGCACATCCACCAGCCATGCAGCCTGGGGTGCAGAGCATGGACGCAGGGTTCAGGCTGCCCACTGAGTCCCAGCTGGTTCGATTCCCAGTCAGGGCACATGCCTGCACTGTGGGCCTGGTCCCTGGTTAGGGCCTATGCGAGAGGCAACCAATCCATGCCTCCTTCCCTGTCTTTCCCCCTCCCTATAAATTAACACACAAACATAAACAAATAAATAAAATCTTTTTAAAAAACCCATGGTACTGGTCTAGCAATGTAGAATGAAGCCTTCTGAGTCCTGATGTGCATTTTTCTAGTGACCTGTCGGGCGGGGGCGTTGAGCCTCTTTTCCTGTTTGTTTTTTTTCTCTCGTTTCCTGTTTGTTTGTTTTCTCTCGTTTCCTGTTTATTCATGATTTTCTTTCCTCTTTTGTCAAAAGCCTGTTCATGTTGCCCATTTTTCTTTCAGGTTGTTTGTGTTTTTAAAAATTTCTTTTGTGGTAAAATATACATAATATTATTAACATTTACCATTTTAACCATTTTGTAAACCATTTTTAAGTGTACGGTTCAGTGGTGTTCAGTCCATTCACAATGTTATGTGACTGTCCCCACCATTCATAGAAATTTCTAGTTTTGCAAAACTGAAACTCTGTCCCCATTAAATACTAACTCCACCCCTTACCCCCTAGCTTCTGTCGCCCACCATTCCACTTTCTGTGTGAGTCTGACTACTCTTGGACTTCCAAAAGTGGAATCATATAGAATGTGTCCTTTTGTGACTGGCTTATTTCATTGAGCACAGTATTCTCAAGGTTCATCCATGTAGCTGGTGTTAGAATGCCCTTTTTAATGGTGCATAGTATTTCATTGTATGAATGGACCACATTTTGCTTATCTATTTACCAACCAATGGACGCTTACATTGCTTTCATGGTTTGGCTCTTTTGAAAAATGTTGCTATGAATATGTGTGTACACATATCGTTTTGAGGCACTGCTTTTTTTTTTTTTTTGTCTTAAACAACAGCAACATTTGTTTTGCTTCAAAACTAGCCAAAAATTCAACAAACATTTTTAAAAAGTGACAGTGCCAATGAATTCAAACAAGACTATTTAGCCCTGGGTTGAAGTGTCATCCCACACACCAAAAGGTTGCAGCTTTGATTACCAGCCAGAGCACGTGGCTACGTTGCGGGTTTGGTCCCCAGTTGGGGCACATACGGGAGGCAACTGATGGATGTTTCTCCCTTATATCACTGATCAATGTATGTGTGTGTCTCTCTCTCCTCCCTCCCCCTCCCTCTTTTTCTCTTTTCCTTCCTCCCTAAAATCAATCAACATATTCTTGGGTAAGGATTTAAAAAAAAAAGATCCCTAGCTTGTGTGGCTCAGTAGATTGAGTACTAGCCTGTGAACCAAAATAAGGCACATGCCTGGGTTGTGGGCTGGTCCTCACTTGGGGGCAAGCAAGAGGCAACCAGTAAGAGTTTCTCTTACACATCGGTCTTTGTCTCCCTCTCTCCCTCTCTCCTCCTCTCTCTGGAAATAAATAAATAAAATCTTTTAAAAATAAAATAAGATAAAAAATATTTATGATAAACAGTATTCTTTCAGTCAGATGGATTTGGGGGGACCCCTCTATTATATGTTATTTCCATGATTATATTTTTTATTTTTTAGTATTTTTATTTTTTAAATTATATTTTATTGATTGTGCTATTACAGTTATCCCAGTTTTTCCCCCTTTGCCGCCCCACTCTCTCAGGCAATCCCCCCACCACTGTGTTCGTGTCTATGGTTCATGCATAGGTTCTTTGGCTTTTCCATTTCCTGTGCTGTACTTTACATCCCATGGCTATGCTGTACCTATTTGTACTTATAAATCCCCTCACCTCTTCACCCATTCCCCCACACCCCCCTCCCATCTGGCAACCATCAAAACTCTGTCCGTATCCATGATTCTGTCTCTGTTCTTGTTTGCTCAGTTTGTTTTTTAGATTCAATTGTTGATAGATTTGTATTTGTTGCCATTTAATTGTTCATAGTTTTGATCTTTTTCTTAAATCCCTTTAATATTTCATATAGTAATGATTTGGTGATGATAAACTCCTTTAGTTTTTCCTGGTCTGGGAAGCTCTTTATCTGCCCTTCAATTCTAAATGATATCTTTGCCAGATAGAGCAATCTTGGCTGTAGGTCCGTGCTTTTCATGACTTGGAATATTTCTTACCAATTCCTTCCAGCAGGCAGTTTCTTTAGAGA